AATCTGGTTTGTTCTCTCCCACAGCTCGTTGTTGCTGATGGTGTCTGGCCAACGAATCCGAAGTATTTTGCGTAGACAATTGTTCACAAACACTTGCATCGTTTGGATGATGACTTTCGTAGTTCTCCAAGTTTCGGCTCCATACAGCAGAACTGTCTTTACATTTGTACTGAAAATCTTAATTTTGGTGTTGACTGATAGTTGTTTTGAGTTCCAGATATTTTTCAATTGTGGAAATGCAGCCCTCGCATCTGCATCGGATCCACCTTGATTGTCGATGATGCTGCTCACATATGTGGTGTTAATGTCCTCGAAAGTATCTCCATCAAGAGTGATTTGGTTGGTGCATGTTGTGTTGCATCGGAGAATTTTGCTTTTTCGTTTATGTATGTTGAGACCTACTGCTGCAGAGGCTGCTGCTACACTGGTCGTCTTCCCTTGCATTTGTTGTTGCGTGTGTGATGGAAAAACCAGGTCATTTGCGAAGTCCAGATCGTCTAGCTGCATCCTAGTTGTTTATTGTATACCGTGTTCCCCTCCCGACGTTGAAATCTTGATAATGCAGTCGATCAGCAGGAGAAAGAAAAAAGGTGTGAGTAAGCAACTTTGTCTGACACCGGTCTTCACCTCAAACGAGTCTGACAGCTGTCCTCTGTGCAAGATATGCAGTTTAATCCATTATAAGAAATCCTTAGATGTTAACTATCCACTCGGGGAGCCATAGTGTCGAAGAAGCCTCCATAGTGTTTTCCTGTCCACGCTATCAAATGCTTTCTCATAGTCAATCATGTTGATGTGGAGTGGTGAGTTCCATTCAACTGATTGTTCCACAGTGATCTGTAATGTTGCGATTTGGTCGGTACATAATCGGTGCTTATGCTATCCAGACTGTTGATCTCGAAGTTAGGCGTCTACGAAGTCCTTCGTACTATTTAACATCACCCTGTTGAAGATTCTTGCTGGTATTGAGCGAAGGTTGATGCCTCTGTAGTTCTCACACTTGCTGAGATTGCCTTTCTCTGGTATCTTGATTAGATGTTTTTCTTTCCAATCTGCTGGTACTCGTTCCTCATTCCAAATCTGGGTGAAGAAAATTCGGAATATTTTTGCAGTTGCTGCCACGTCTACTTTCAGTGCCTCTGCTGTAATGTTACCTGACCCGGCTGCTTTGCCGTTCTTGATTTTTCTGATAACCATGCTGATCTCTTCAATTTTTGATGAGTCAACATCGACTGGGATGTCTGTGGGTTCTGCTTCGATGTTGAGCGAATTCAATGTAGCTGGTCAACCGAAGAGATCCTTAAAGTGCTCTTCCCACCTGCTTCGCTGTTTTTTTATGTTGCTGATTACTTTGCCCTCCTTGTCTGGTCACTCTAGTTTATGATAATTCCCAGCATGTTTCGTTGTAGTCTCAAACAATTGTCTCATGTTTCCTTCTCTTGCAGCCTTTCTACACCGTCATTGCTAATTCTTCCATATATAGTTCAAGTAGATGAGAATTTAATTTTAGTTTTAAGAAAAAATAACTTTACATAATACCGTAAATAGTATACAGAGTTAATGTCATCGTCTATTTTTATCCTTAAACGTCACATCAAAAAATTTTGATGCTTCTCTTTATTGAAATTAGAAAATGTAACGAATTGTATCAATGAATGACAAATACTACCACTGTAGATACTGAATTTTGCTTCACAGACACAGTAAAGAGAATGGAATAGACCTAATAATAGTAGTTACACATTGGAATTCATCAGCCTTTTAATTACTTTCGCCTCATAATTGTTACATTTTTTTTATTATCAATAAATTAAGCAATAGCTAAGGACAACAGTGGCAAGGATCCGTTGCTCCTCTAAAAATGCTGCCATATCGTTATATATATATATATATATATATATATATATATATATATATATATATATATATATATAAAGCCACTGATAAGAAAATCCTATTCACTTTCTTCTTGTGTTGGTGTTGAGATGATGGAGAAAATTTGTAGCTCAGGTAGATGAATATGGTGAAGTATCATTCATTGAGCGGGATGTTTTGGTTGTGGAGCTTTGATTGTTCTTCTGCTGAACAACACCATCAGCGCAAACTTCAGATAGTGTTGTCTAAGAAATGCAGATGACCGAAACCATATGTCCGGAGGAACCTTAAACCAGGCTGTATGTATACAGAGAATCCACCTAAGGAAGTTTGGCATTGTTAGGTCCAAGGCACCGGTGTATATGGGCTCTAGAATCTTTAGGTACTGAAATAGCTAAGGAACCTGCTGTTTGTCACTGATCACCATGTGACAGTATCTCCGAAGGTTGCTTGTCAGCTTTGTGGAATAGACCTGTAGGTCAAAGGTTCGAGTAATGGCTTCGGTGTGAGCACCCGTACAGTATTGTAGCGAACACCCGGACTCAATGATTTGTGTAGTGCTTAAACATATAGATGCCCCTCTGTTCCGATAACGATTATTTTAAATATAAATATATATATCTATTTTAAATAGTTGAATTGTTTTTGCGTAATTCAACACTGACCATATTTTGAAGTCTCCGGTTTCTTCATTTATTTTGGTTCAAAGTGTTCAATAATGTCGATAATATTCGATTTAAAAATAATACTAGATGAATACGATATTTAGACTTTTGTTCAAAAAGAGTTTAATGTTTTGCTTTCATACTTAGACTGATTAAAAATGAATCGACGCGTGGTTTATGTTGAAAGCGGCTTCATTAACCTTGATAGTTAATAATCAAAAAAATGGACTAAAGGTTTGTCGTTCACTAAATCGTGGGCGAAATATACATTTGTTTGTCGAAAAGTAATGAGGCTATGAATCAGTTGGCTTTGTACTGTTTAAATTACTGAGATAACATACACGAAACATCATTAATTCGAATGTTATTACCTTCGATTTCCTTACGCCTGTTACTCCAAATGGAGCATAGGCCACTCAACAACATTTTTCAACCAACTGTGTCCCGAGCCATCCTTTCCAGTTCTATCTAATCGCTCTCCATTCTTTTCATGTCTGTTTTCACTCGAAAATCAATGTGTTATTGTTTAATCAATTCTCTCTATCAGTAGGGCAGTCAACTTGTTCAGTGTAAAAAAGTTTCGAAAATGAGATGCTTGAAACTATTACGAGTTCATCTTACTCTGCAAACGAAACGAAGATCAACGATATAGTGACACAATAGACTCTTCTAATCTGATTGTTCCAGTCTACGCTAACTAGAGTAAGAAATCTTAATAAGGCGTACAGAATGTATTCTACAGGCACCCAGAAAGTTAGTGGTTGCTAAACACACAACTCAAGTTTATTCATACAATAATAGAAACGCCCTTGGTGAGCGCCACAAAACAGCCTACTAAAATAATCCATCAACCAATGAAAGTCAAGGATTATCCGAGTAGGAAATATAAGCTGAAGGTCAGCTAGGCGTCTTTTGGAGGGAATACACAGAAATCCGAAATTTCAGAGTAAAATTAAAAAAACTAGTACCTTTTTGAAGTGCGTTCTTGGGGGATCTAACGTCCTCAACAACTACATCCTAAATCCCAATGCTAGCAATGTGTAGTATGCACTGATAATGTCGAACCGACATGACTTCTCCCAGTCTTCGGACAAACTAATCAATTTATTTTTTTTCGCGTCATCGTTCACACATCTTTTGACCTTGACGTTTCCTCGCTTATAATCTGAGTTGTTTTATACTTAAGTGTATGCTTATCATATGTCTAGCCTACTTTTGTCTGATTATAAATACTAAGTCCACATGCCTCATCGCATGCAGTTGGCTCATTCGCCTTTTCCACTTCACTTCACTTCACTTCACTTTTATACTTCTCTTTAGTGTCTGTCTGCTTACGTAAATGTCTAAAATAGATCCATTCCACATGAAACCATATTCAGCTCCGAATTAACATCATCGCACAAACGGAGTTCGCCTGAGAATGATAAACAGAAATTGAAGGGAAAATTTATTTCTAGAAAATTCACTCGTTTGTCCGAATCGGAATCACATCCTCAAGTTACTAAAAAAGGCAATCACAATATGTTTCAGTTTTTACACATTAGAAATCATCAATCAATCATTGTTAGATCACCATTAGCAACCTGGAAGCACTGGACGGCCGTTTCGTCCTGGTATGGAACTCACCAGCAGTGCGCATCCACGACTCCTGCTCCTCGCAAGATTCGAACCCGGTACCTTCGGCATTTCTAATGTGTAAAAACGCAAACCTCCAAAACTCAGCCCCAAAATGTTTCAGTTTATTGAACTGAGATTTCAATACAGAAAAAAAACTAAATTGATTATGTTCATTTGATAAACAAGAAATAATAGTTTTTTCAATTAGAGTTATGGAGATCATTGTTTTTTACCCGGGATTCGAAACCGGGACCTTCGGTCTTGCACGCGAACACCCAACCTCTGGACCATTGGGCCGGCATCCAACAGTGTGAATGTCTAACTGTGATTGATCTAGGGATTTTGCACTATCTCACCCATTTGTCTTTGGTAGTTACTGCCTATACCCTGTCGGGTATTCGCGCGCAATGTCGAAGATGAGCACTTCTGCTGATGAGTCCCACACAGCAGGACGAAACGGCCGTCCAGTGCTTTCAGGTCTCTAATGCTGGTCTAACAATGATTGATTGATGATATCAAATGCGCAGTCTACCGAAGACTGTGTATGAGGTTGCGCAACTCCGTGAATTCGATCAAGTTAGACATTAACACCATTAGATACCGGCTCAGTGGTCTGACGGTTAGGGCGTTCGCGCGCAATAGCGAAGGTCCTGGGTTCGGATCCTGCGGGGTGCAGGAGTCGTGGATGCGCCCTGCTGAGGAGTCCCATATTAGGACGAAACGGCCGTCCAGTGCTTCCACGTTTCTAATGGTGGTCTAACATTGATCAATTCATGGTTTCAAAGAAATAAATAAAGAAATTAAATATCATTTATAAAATTTATTTCTTGATTATTCAACTGATCAATTTTCAATTGTTTGTATTTGTTTCAATATATTTACAAGTAAATTTGCATCATTTTGTAGAATATTTAATTCATGATTCATTTTCAATGCAATATTACGCCAATAATCAGCTTCTAAATTCATAGAATAAATTTGATTAGCATAAATATCTTTCATTAATTCTCTAAATTGAAAAATAAAATAAAAATAGAAACCGTTTGAATAATAATGTACAGAGAGATTAACTGAATTAAACAGTTCATTCTATTTTAGTATATTGGAATTGTGTCTTAAGACTTATTATCTAAATATACCTCTATTTCAGTATTGATGTTCACATCCAATACATACTTCTTAATTATTCAAAAAAGAAACTGTTATTTATACACAGTGAAATCATGAAAGAATCATAGACAACTATTGGAAACATGGAAGCAGTGGACGGCCATTTGGTCCTGTTGTGTGGGACTCATTAGGTGCAGCGCGCATCCATGACCGAAACCACCTCAGGATTCCAACGCAAAACCTACGATCTTGCGTGCGGATGCTTAACCACTGAACCACTGTCAGTCAGTCAGATGCAACGTAGAACTTCGTACGTAAGTACATCAGTTCATGTTACCATACCACATTAGCATAGAGATGTAATTGTCAATTCAAATCCAACAGTATTACAGGTAGTAAAGATACTAGCAGCAGTCGGAGAGTTTAGGATTAGAAAATATTATTCAAGAAGTATGATTCAGTGAAATAAGTTTAGAAAAACAAAAGTAGACGTGTTGACGCTTCCAGAAGATTAGGATTTGAAAGAACACAACGATTGGATGCACCTGCGTCATTGCAAACGATTCTGAGCCATGTCGTTTAAGGTCTCTAACCATCGGTGAATATCGTCTCGCGGACCCCAACCAGGTAGTCGACAACTACTGACATGACTCAGTTCACTTGTCAATGACTTCATGGATTGCTGCCACGAGACCGAATTGGTCGAAATCAAATCCTCCCTACACCCACACATACCTCTCTTCTCTCCACAACTAACTGAACCACTGAGCGATGTTGATGCCTCACCATGATCAATCGGAGGATTTCGTGCAATCTCGCCCATAGTCTTCTGTAGGTAACTGCCTACACCCATGAGGGTTGAACTCCACCGGTCACAACTTCTTACTAGAATCGCCAAAATTTCCCCATGGATTTAGTTATTAGTGTTCCATTGGTTAAGAGTTCGCATTCAAAAGTGAAGGTCCTGGGTTCAAATCCTGTGAGCAGCAGAAGTTGTGAATAAGCACTGTTGATGAGTCCCAAACCAGGACGAAACGTCCGTCTTGTGCTTCGAGGTTTCTAATAATGGTTTAATAATGATCCGTTCATGATTTAAATGTGTATAAACAACAATCTCCATTATACTATGATGCAAAATGAAACTGTTATTTGTCAAGCTACTGATTCAACTGAAAAGTAAACTTATTTTATAAGTATAAAGTTTAATTTTAATGTATCATTCAAACTTGTAATATATAAATACTATCAAAGTGTATGAGTATTTGAAGGAAGTTGGAATAAGAACCACCTTGATGAAGGATTTGTGTTAATTGGCATTCGTTAATAAATCGCATGTATATTCTTGAAAAAAGTAATGACTTTGTTCAAGGAAACAGATAGGCTTATTAACACTGAATTCAAATCCAGTCGTAAATATGTGAACAGAAAAAAAATGGAAACTTTCACAAATAAATCTTGATCTGCTCAGCGACTCACTATTTAAAGAATCATTTACTATCATAAGTTATCTTTGTGAATAGTTTGACACTCCTAACCGGTAAACAAATCTAATTTCATGGTTAGAATCTCCCTTATTCATAAGGTTTTCTATTATTACTTACTTACTTACTTATACCTATTACCCTTAAGGGAACAAAGTCTACTGACCAGCGAAGTATTTTCCTGGTTAACGTTTTTTATAGCAGTTGGATTTCTACGGGATGTATCTGACCCTGAGACCAGCAGTAGCTTTGGAAGTTGGTTTCCCATAAGACCATTAATGTATATTCATGACAAACTTTTATTCAGACTTTGCTAGTGGTATTAGTCGTACTACTACTACTACTAGTAGTAGTAGTAGTAGTAGTAGTCGTACTAGTCGTAGTAATAGTAGTAGTAGTGTGAGTAGTGGTAGTAGTAGTGCGTGTAGTAGTAGTAGTGTGTGAAATAGTAGTGTAGTGAAGGAGAATTCAGGTGAGGACAATCGAATTTTATTTAACGAAAATTAGAGTTACTCAGGAAAATAGGAAAACCATATCATAAACGGTTAATTTGCAAATCTTCAATCAATCATCAATCCATTGTCTGACATTTCACTATTATTCATGCGCTTCATACAAAGTCCATTGTGTTCCCACTCTTCCTTTCTTGATCTTCCCCCATCTTCTGCCGTCAGACATTACGTTTTTACTTGCGTCATATACTACTTCTAAGTAGCGCGCACCACAGTAGTAGTAGTCGTTTTAGTCATAGTAATAGTAGAAGGAGTGTGAGTTGTAGAAGCAGTGTGAGCAGTATTAATAGTAGTAGTAGTAGTGTGGGTAGTAGTAGTGTGATTAATGGAAGTAGTAGTAATAGTAATCATAGTATATGTGTCCTGCACTGATTGCCCTATTTAACCACAATGCCTATTTCAAAGCAATTTAAACAGAATAACAAAGATTGGTAATGTAGACAAAACACGAATTCACAAATTCTTAGCATTTCAACAATAAAATATTATGTAACACTACACCTACATGCCACTTAGAATGCATGAATAGTTCCAAGATAACAAAAAAAGAACTAGACAAATGAACAAAAGCTTATCACGTTCTATGAAGGAAATTAGTGAAAATTTCAACGTCTAACTTGTAGATTGTGTTCAAAGAGTAAAGCAAAGTTTTATCACATCCAAACAGATAGGCTTTAAATTAGTGAATGACCAGGAAAATTTACTAAATGAATAAGAGATTATATCGTCATTAAAAAAGAGTCAATTGTCTTTTATTCATTCATACGATGAAAATTAGTTAACTTTGTAAAACAAAAGAAACTCGGTAAAATTCATTTATTCAATTGAATTTCAATGTATTTATTTGTTTGTTATCTTCCTAAAGCAAATATTTTCTTTATGTGAACATGTTTCGGAAGAAAGGAGGTTATTGTTGGAGATGTCAGATCCCCGAAACTCGCTTGATAAATGCCATAATTTTGGATTTCATGTTTGCGAGTATGAGCTGATCAGTTGGTATTGAGATTTCATTTCCAACCAGGAAAATTCTTGGCTGTGATTGGCTGCTGTCGATTTTAGTGTGTTATTTTTGTGACTGTCCCAAGGACATTTCTATGATGTATAAATAAACGAGATTTGTATGCTTGATTGCATTGTGCTTCCTGGGTGTTTGTAGAATATACTTTCTACGCTATATCAACACTTTTCTTCAGTCATTTCGAGTCAACGGATCAAGATAGCCTACCTGGACTCCGGTTCATTGTCTTGTTCTCGCTTATCGACTAAGGTGAACTAGTAATAGTTTCAAGCATACTTCGTGTCGAACCAAACAGTATTGCACAAGCGTATCGTCTTAATATGAAAGTGGACTTTGGTCTTCAGATGGTAGACAGGAGAAACAACTACATGAAATCAATAGATTGGCACTGGCCAGAATGAATTATTTTTCACGAGAAAACAATGAAATAGTCAAGCTAGAGTATGTGTAGATCATAACCGTCAGGCATCACAGTTAATTGTTTCAATATAACATACCAGTGATCTATTTGTTCAATGTTCAACAAACCGATAGTTAATCTGAGTTTAGTTTTTAGATAGCATAAGAAATATTTGATCAAAAAAGATACTTCATCATTATAAAAGCTTTTAGTCACACACAAAACATATCACAAGTTCATGAAGTCACTGAAAACTGGACTGAACTATGCTAGTAGGTGTAGACTGCCTGCATCGGGTCTGCGAAAAAATCGCAACCGATGGTTGGAGAATTTGAATGACATGGCTGAAAATCGTTTGCAGTGGCGCAAATGCATCCCGTTCTTTGTCTTCTCTCAAAATTCTAGTCGTCTGAACTCCTCATCACCTTTATCTTCCTTTTTAAAATTGATTTCACTGAATTTTACTTCTTGAATGATATCTTTGATCACCAATCTTTTTGATTACCGATAATACTTCTACTACCTACACCATTATGAGATTTGAATAGACAATTCGATATATCTGTGCGTTAATGTGGTATGACAACTTGAACTGAACGTTGTAACTGACTGGCTTTTAGTCACACTACTTCGATTATACCTGAAAATAGTTTCATGCTTGTCAACACCAATCCTATAATTGTACATATATATATAATTTTAACGGATTCGATTGTTCCCTGTAAGATTTGACAGACAGACAGATACAATGGAGAACTTCGTACATAAGTACATCAGTTCACGTTGCCATACCACGACAGCACAGAGATGTAACTGTCAGTTCAAATACAAGAGTGATAGCGATAGTAGAAGTATTAAGAGTAATGGAAAAGATTAAGGAGCGAAGATATGATATGATTCGAGAAGTATAATTCAGTGAGATAAATTTAGAAGGAGAAAGATAGAGATTATGAGGAATTCAGAAGGTTAGAGAATTAAAAAGCACACAAAGATTTGTAATTCTATCATTTGGTCAACTATATTGTTAGAGATATGACTGTTCAATCAATCAGAGTATTAAATGACATTTTTATAAGCTTATACTATGGTTCAACAAATTATCTAAAAAGGAATTGAAATGCGCCGAATTGATTATGTGATGATTCATTGGATTGAAATAGTGTTTTGATACTCAATGATTGTATCTATACACCAGTTTTAGGTGTACACTAATGATTTTCCATGAGAATATTAGTCAAATTGACTAACGTAATTGTTACGCCTGCACGTAAGCACGTCAACTTGATATACTTGAACTATTACGAGTTTACCTAGTCGGAAAACGAGTGTGAGGATCGAGGATCCGGTGACACGACATACTACTCAAATCTAATTATCCCAACCCCCCATTTGAGTAAAAATAAGAAGACTTGATATGAGGTAGAACTTGTATTCTACAAGCATCCAGAAATTGCGAGGTCCGAGTCCAGAAGAGAATCAGGATCCCGGACTAGGGATCCGGGACCGGGTCCTGGTCCTGGTCATAAAATGTTGCATATAATGCGTATTTATACATTTTGGTCAAATGAGAAACAACATCGGAGTCTGTGACATTGACAGTTACGACGACCAACAGAAAGTAACATTTGAAGTGACACTGATAGTCAGGACAACCAAGAAGAACAACATTGGAGCACGTAACATTGATATCTAGGACGACCATAAATTTGACCAGTGGGCGCATAAACTTTATAATTATCAGATTTAGATATTAACACCCCTCAGTGGTCCAGGGGTTCAGCGTTCGCGCGCAAGACCGAAGATCCTGGGTTTGAATCCTGAGAGTAGCGGGAGTCATGTACGTGCCCTGCAGATCAGTCCCGTACTAGGACGAAACGGCCGTCCATTGCATCCAGGTTTCTAATGGTTGTCTAACAATGATTTATTCATAATATCAAGGTGATATTAATTGTAATAACAATGAAAAAATCAAGATGGTCGATGACAAGTTTTTCAGACTGTAATATTCCTTTACTAAAACACCATAAATGTCAATTTACGTCATTTAGGGTGTAGGCGAGATATCCGTTTGCTGACTAAAGGACGAATGTACTCTGCAGCAGTTCGCTCCGTTCTCCTATATGGTTCCGAAACATGGCCGGTAAGAGTCGAAGATGTTCATAGGTTACCAGCATTCGATCGTAGATGTCTTAGAAGCATTGCTCGTGTATCCTGGGACAACCGAGTAAGCAATGCTGCCACTAGGAAACGAGTTTTAGGTAAGGATGGCAGATTAATAGATGAAGTGGTGAAACTTCATCAGTTGAGGTGATTGGGACATAATTTACGAATGCCCAACCACCGGCTGCCTCGACGAGCTTTGTTTTGAAGTGTAGGAGTAGGTTGGAAGAAAGTTAGGGGTGGTCAGACCAAAACATGACAGAAATCCATGAAGTCACTGACAAGTGAACTGAGTCATGTTGATAGATGTAGGTTACCTTGTTGGTATCCACGAGACGATAGTAATCGATGGTGAGAGACCTTGAATGACATGGCTAAGAATCGTTTGCAAAGGTTCAGGTGCATCTACTGATTGTGTTCTCTCAAATTCTAATCTTCTGGATTCGTCAACACCTCTACCTTTGTTTTTCTAAACTTTTCTCACTGAATTATACTTCTTGAATAATATCTTCGAACCCTAATCCTCTCTATTACCAGTAGTACTCCAACTATCTTTACCACTATTGGATTTGAATTGACAGCTGAGTCTCTATGTTAATGTTGTATGGCAACATGAACTGATGTACTTATGTACGAAGTTGTACGTTGCATCTGCCTGGCTGACGAATCTATATATTCAGTCCTTTACAGAAATTCGACATTTGATGACTAATTACCATCATCAAAGGTGTTAAAACTTACTTGTTTGGTAAGTATTGAATGATACCTATTCAAATCCTTATTGCGATATCAGTTTACTTAAGGTACAAAATACACGTAAGTATTTGCCTATTGACATGAAACAAAAACAGATTACTTAGCATACTTAGATAATGTAATGAGAAGATTAAGGTAATCAAAATTATGTGAGATATTTGCACAATACATTTCGAATAATAATGAAATTATGAATCGACCAATTTTAGATCATAATTAGAAACTTGAAAGTACTGCATGGTCGTTTCCTTCTAGTATGGACTTAACAATAGTGCGGATCCATGACCCGAACCGAACCGAAGACGTTCGATCTCATGCGTGAATATTTGACCTCTCGACCAATCAGCAAGCATCCAGTGGTGTTAATGTCTAGACGGTAAGCGTTCTACGTGCGAAACCGATGATCTTCGGTTCGATTTCCACGAGCGGAGGTCGTGGATGCGTGCTGCTGATGAGTCTCAAACTAGGATGAAACGACCAACCAGTGCTCTTAAATAGATAAAGTTGATCGAACAATGATCGATTTATAATTCTAATGAAACTCAATAATCTTCATAACTCTATAAAGAAAAAAACATCTCGAATAATCTGACCATACATACATTACTTATTCAGACATGATATATATATGTATATGTAGAAAAAAACAATAAAAGGTCAACCAGACAGACTAGAACAAAGATGATGATAATAAAGTACAAAACATGAAAACCACGCCGCAGACCAATGAATCAATATTATCAAGTTAGGAGTATATTGTTTTTTTATTTGAACATTTAGAGGAAGTTTCAATTTTCATCAAGCTAAGACTTTAATAATAAATACAACAATGGTTGACTTGATATCACCACACTATGATCGGTCTCAATCAAACTATATTGCAATGGATGAAGATAATTATCTATCTTGTGATCTGATCTGACGATTGAAATTCTTTGGTTTATGTATATTCAGTTATTTATGTTTACAGATCATGATTACTCCTACTTATGTATAGGTTTAGTTGCACAAACATTTAGATTGACAGATACAATACAAGGTGCAATTTATTAATTACACATCGAAATAATCAATCAATCATTGTTAGACTACCATTAGAAACTTGGAAGCACTGGAAGGCCGTTTCGTCCTGGTATGGGACTCATCAGTAGCAATGCGCATCCACGACTCCTGCACCTCGCAGGATTCGAACCCGGGACCTTCCGTATTGTGCACGAACGCCTAACCTCTGGACCACTAGACCAGCATCCAAAGGTTTTAATGTCTAGCTCTGATTGATCTAGAGATTTTGCGTGACATCACCCATTTGTCTTTGGTAGTTACTGCCTACACCCAACGATGTTGAACTCTACTGGTCAGGTCTTCTCATTAGAACTCTGAGAATTACCTCATGACATGCTGTTTGGGTTTTTAGTGTTAATATTATAGTATGATGGAGATCGATGTTTTACCTAGAGTTAATGATTTCAAGGTAAAACGCTGTGAAACATCCAATTTCATATAGAATAACATGGCAATGAGAAAGCGTTTAAGTGAACCATTATGTTATAAACGTTGACTGTACCAAAAAACGCAACAACTGTATTTAACTTTTAAATTTTCGAAAAGAAGATTCCTGTTCACTGAAATACATTTCAAACTTTAAATTCAAGCATGAAATATTATTTTTTTCAGATAATTAACTGAAAACATAATTTCACTTCACAGTTTGACATTTCTGAAATCTATATACATTAAAGTGAGCAACTTTTTTTGTTAACACCATGAAAAACGAAGTTTCTTTTAAAAAAACACATCTAAGTTGTACAATTTTAAATGTAAGACTTGAGAGAGCACACAAACACAACAAAGTGAGAGTATGCATTAGAGATTTGCGGAGATTGTTGAGTTACTCAATGTGAGACCAGTATTAGAAACCTGAAAGCACTCGACAACCGTTTCATCCTCGTACGGGACTCATCCGCTGTGTCCATCCATGACTCTAACTGCTCGCGAGAACGCTTAACTTCATTAATCAGCCCAGTGATCCAGAGGTTAAGCATTCACGTGCAACACCGAAGGTTCTGAGTTCAAATTCTGCTGGTTGTAGGAGTCGTGCATGCACACTGCTGATGAGTTCCATACCAGAACGAAACAGCCGTCCAGTGTTTCCAGGTTTATAATTCCAGTCTAGCATTGATCAGTTCAAAATTTCAAACTGAGGATGAAAAAATAGAAAAACATACATCCCTAATTTTTAACTTACTCTTCGTTAAAATTCTTTTCAATTTCTTTTAATGATGAAGGATAGTTTTCATTTGTACATTGCTGTGTATTCAAGTGATGTGTACTTTTGCTGTCACGATGTTTATTTCGTTTCATTGTGGATGTTTTCAGTCGATTTAATTCTGTTTCTTTAGACAGAATAATATCCTGTTGATTTTTAATTTGCCTCTGAAATAAAAAAAAGAAGGATAAGAATTACCTTTTTTTCAATGTGTTCAAGTAGTTGGAAGCAGTTAGTGAGAGAAAATCTAATTTCTCTATTTTACTAGTGGATTATGTGTATGAATCAGAAGTAATAACAATCTTGAACAAAATGAGATATTCTCTGTGATATATGAGATCCAGTTTCAAAGAGTAAAATCCTACTCATGTGCTATTCCGGTTTTGGCATGTTTGTAGGACTAACATATTTACAATTTTCTGGTCATTGAGTAGTTGTAATATTTGAGTATATTAATATCACGTCTACCAGTGGAATTCAGCAAGTTTGCGTCATTCTGCTTGAAGTCCATCAGTTTTGGATGTGTAAATGTTGAATAGTGTTGATATTCATTGTAAGACTTTGAAGTATTATTGATCTCGTCGAACATCAGCCTGTTATTTAGTAAAACAACTGAGTCTAAACACTCAATAATTTGTATAATATTTACAGAATCCCTACTCAATCAATCAAGTAAACAATAGCAACGTAGAACTTCGTACGTACGCACATCAGTTCAGGTTGTCATACCACATTAGCACAGAGATGTAATTGTCAATTCAAATCCAATAGTAGTAGAGGTATTAGCAGTAGTCAGAGAGGTTAGGATTTGAAGATATTATTCAAGAAGTAGAATCTAATGAATTAGACTTAAAAAAATAAAGATAAAGGTGAAGTGAAATTCGGAAGATTAGGATTTGAGAGAACACAATGAATGAATGCACCTACGCCATTGCAAACGGTGTTGAGCCATGTCATTCAGGGTCTGTAACGATCGATTACCAACATTTCGCGGACCCCAACCAGGTAGTCGACACCTAACGACATGACTCAGTCCACTTGTCATTGATTTCATGGATTTCTGTCATGTTTTGGTTTGGTCACCCCTAGCTTCCTCTGTGATTTTTAAATCCAGCTACAAAGTGTTAAATTCAAGTTTTGTCTTGTCTGTAGGATTGAAATAAATTCATCCAACTGAATCCCATATTCAGCCTCTTATTATCACATTTTAGCTTATGACTATACATCATAACTAGTGTGCAACCACAGTCTATTAAGACATGAAATGAGAATAGTATCTCTAAAATCTAAAACTTCGAAACGCAGTCATGAATTATGATGTCTGAATCGCATTCTAATACAGGACTGGGTTCCTCTGATACGTTTATACCTGACAGTAGGGATTCCGAGATATTCTCTGTGATTTTTGAATCCATTTTCAAAGAATAACATCCTCCTACTGTGCTATTCCGGTTTCGGCATGTTTGTAGGACTGACATATTTACAATCTTCTGGTCATCGAGTAGTGTCTAAAGACAGAATTGTTGTATAATCCTGTAGTAATGATCGACAATTAGGGATGAAGTTTTAATGTTTGAGGATATTAGTATTGTGGCTACCATTAGAATTCAGCAAGTTTGCGTCATCCTGCTTGAAATCCGTCAGTTTTGGATGTGTATATAGCTAATAGAGTTGATCTTCATCATAAGTTTCAGAAGTATTATTTATCTCTTCAAACATCAGCCTGTTATCCAGTAAAAAAAACAGAGTATAAACACTCAATAACTTGTATAATATTTACAGAATCCCTACTATCAGGTATTAACCAATCATAGAAACTCAGTCCTGTATTAGAATGCGATCCAGACATCATAACTCCTCACTACATTTCGAAGTTTTAGATTTTAGAGATACTATTCTCATTTCATGTCTTAATAGACTGAGGTTGCATACTAGTTCTGATCTAAAGATAATCATTTTTCAGAAATAGTCATCAGCTAAAATATGACAGTTAAATTCAATGTTCAACATAGTTTCGAAATGATTCTGCTAGTTGAAATGAAATGCAGATACTTGAGCACCTAATGCATAATTCATACATGGTGACTGTCAAAAAAGTTTATAAATAATGCAACTTGTTTTTACTCTACACTACAGAGACTATTATCATCAAGCTTTCTCGACTTGGTTGTTTATACATAGAAAGAAAGTCTAGTGAACTCTTCAATGCGACAGTACATAATTATAATGATTTGAAGTGAATTTATTACGTGTTTTGTGTTATCATGGATTGCAAACATTACATCACGATTCATGACATATATATTCTTAACTTTCTATCAACTAGATTAGTATTTATAACGTCATTGACCTCTCTATCTATATTGACTTCGTTTTTAATCAATCGATATCCATCGATAATTTCAAGCATTATGTTAAATATTTCACATCTTCACTGGGCTGCGTTAGATTTTTTGTACTTATTTACTTACTTACGCATGTTATCTCCATATTGGAGCATAGACCGCCCATCAGTTTTCTTCAACCAACTCTGTCATGGGCTTCCCTCTCCAGTTCTGTCCAATGTTTGTTCATTCCTCTCATATCTTTCTCTATTTATCGGCGTAATATGTTCCTTGGCATTCCTCTTTTCCTTTTGCCTTGAGGGTTCCAAGTGAGGGCTTGTCTCGTGACGCAATTAGGTGCTTTTCGTAGTGTGTGTCCTATCCACTTCCACCGCTTCTTCCTCATTTCCTCCTCCACTGGAATCTGGTTTGTTCTCTCCCACAGTTCGTTGTTGCTGATGGTGTCTGGCCAACTAATAAGAAGTATTTTGCGTAGACAACTGTTAATAAACACTTGTATTTTCTGGATGATGCCTTTCACAGTTCTCCAAGTTTCCACTCCATACAGTAGAACTGTCTTGACATTTGTATTGAAAATCCTGATTTTGGTTTTGGTTGAAAGTTGTTTAGAGTTCCAGATATTTTTCAACTGTAGAAATGCAGTCCTTGCTTTGCCAATCCGCGCCCTCACATCTCCATCGGATCCATCTTTCTCGTCGATGATGCTGCCCAGATATGTAAAGGTGTTAATGTCCTCCAAGGCATCTCCATCAAGAGTGATTTGGTTGGTGCATGTTATGTTGCATCGGAGAATTTTGCTTTTTCCTTTATGTAAGTTGAGATCTGCTGCTACACTGGTCGTCTTCTCTTGCATTTGTTGTTGCGTGTGTGATAGAACAGCTAGGCCATCTGAGAAGTCCAGATCGTTCAGCTACGTCCTAACTGTCCAGTTGATACCGTGCTTCCCTCCAGATGTCGACGTCTTCATAATCCAGTCGATTGATGACCAGGAGAAAGAGAAGAGGTGTGAGTAAGCAACCTTGCTTGACACCGGTAAGGTTAAAAACGCTAACCAAATTTGTTGTAGAGCTCATCAATTTAGTGGTCCACGATCTGACTCCAATATTTATGAACAATTAAACATGTTATGAAATAAATCTCTCCTACAGTTTCCGTAAATCATACTTAAGCGAACCCCGTCTGTATGAGGGTGATAATAGGAGGAAGGTTAAATACGGATTCGGTTAGTAATCGTTCGTGCAGACAGACATGAGAACGAAAAGCGTACAAGCAAAGCAAAGCAAGGTGAATCGAAGTGGAGAAGGTGAGTGAGCCAAGTGAACACGATCAGGCATGACTAAGTACTTATAGTCAGGTAAAATAGGCTTGACATTTTGTAAGTGGAGTAAGCGGCGCACCCGAACTCAAATAAAAACGACCAACGATACAAGCGACTCTAAAAGTACACACACTACACATCTTTTTGTGTACATTATACTCTGTTTAAAAATAAAAAAAATATTAATAACTTGCAAAACTGTTTCACAGATCATGAAAAGTCTTAAAATCCATCTACTGTTAGCATTCCAATTCACAAAAAAAATTCTATGTTTGTTTTGTTTTGTTTAAATTTATCAAGTGATCAAGTGTGTACGAAATTCAATTATTTATGTAAACTAAAAATATATATATATATATATATATATATATATATATATATTGTACACCTTTATTTCAACATGTCACATGTGTATACTGGTCGTTGAGATAATAAGAAAATAAGAAAATTACCTGAATTATTGTTGAATTTATTTGATAATGAGAAAAAAATGTTACAAATATGAGACGAAGTTAGAAAAAAAAGGCTGATTAATTAATTCCAATGTGTAACTACTATAATTAGGTCTATTCCATTCTCTTTATTGTGTCTGTGAAGCAAAATGAAATATCTACAGTGGTAGTATTTGTCATTCATTGATACAATTCGTTACATTTTCTAATTTCAATAAAGAGAAGCATCAAAATTTTTGTTGTGACGTTTAAGGATAAAAATAGAAGCAGAAATTAATTCTGTATACTATTTACGGTATTATGTAAAGTTATTTTTTCTTAAAATTAAAATTAAATTCTAATCTACCTAAACCATATATGGAAGATCTAGCAATGATGGCGTAGAAAGGATACAAGAGAAGGAAACATGAGACAATTATATAAGACTACAACGAAGCTCGCTGGGAATTAAAATGAACTAGAACGACCAGACAAGGAGATGTAATCAACAACATTGAAGAACAGCGAAACAGATTGATAGAGCACTTCAAATAACTCTTGAATAGACCAGCCCCCACTGAACCCATCCAACATCGAAGCAACACCCGCGGACCTCCCAATCGATGTTGGCCCACCAACAATTGAAGAGATCAATATGGTGATTCGACAAATCGAGAGTGGTAAAGCAGCGGGACCGGACAACATTCCAATTGAGGCACTGAAAGCAGAAGTAGTAGTAACCGTGAAGATACTTCTCCTCTTCTTCAGCAAGATTTGGGATGAGGGATGAGCACGAACAGACTGTAAAGAAGGACATATATGCAAGATATCAGAGAAAGGCGGTCTCAGCAAGTGTGAGAACTACAGAGACATCAATCTTTTATCAATACTAGGAAAAATCTTCAGCTGGGTGTTCTTAAACAGAACGAAGGACTTTGTAGATGCTCAACTTCGAGATCAACAGGCTGTAATGCATAAGAATCGATTATGTACCGATCAAATCTCAACATTACAGATCACTGTGCAACAATCAATTGCATGGAAATCACCAATTCACAGCAACTAGATTGACTATGAGAAAGCATTTGATAGCATGGACAGGATAACATTATGTAGGCATCTTCGACCACAGTAACAACAGGTCTCAACATATACAAAGGGAACAGCAAGATTCTTCAGTATAACACAACATGCTCCATCCAAATCATTCTTGATGGAGACGCCTTGGAGGACGTAAAAACCTTTACATATTTGGGCATGAAAACTGATGAGAGTGGTGAATTTGATGCAGATGTGAAGGCGTAGATCGGCAAAGCAAGCGCAGCATTTCTACAATTGAACAACATCTGGCACTCCGAACACTATCAGCCAAAACGAAAGTAAGAATTTTCAATACAAATGTCAAGACAGTTCTACTATATAGGGCGGAAACTTGACCAAAGCCATCATCCAGAAGATACAAATATTTATGAACAGTTGCCTATGGAAAATACTTCGGATACGTTGGCCAGACACTATCAACATCAGCCTACAGAGGAAGCGAACAAATCAGCTTCTAGCTGAGGAATGTGGATGGATTGCTGGAAGTGGATAGGACACACATTGAGGGAAGCGCCCGACAGTGTCACAAGACAAGCCCTCACTCGGAATCCTCACGGTTAAAGGAAAAGACGAAGGCCAAACAACGCATCGCGCACAGAAATGAAGACTGACATGAGACGAATGAACGACAATTAGACAGAACTGGAAAAGGAAGCCCAGGAAAGTGTAGGTGTCAGAATACTAGTCAGCGGCCTATACTCTTTATCCTGAACCATTAATAGTTATATATTTAATAGCCTACTAGCATAAACTCTCTTGAGAGATAGAGACTATCAAGTTGGAGTGTGAGTGATGGTTCTGATGAATGATCAGAAATGTCAGGTGATTTGCCTTAGTATCGATCACCTCTACCTTTGTCTTTCTAAATTTATCTCACTGAATTATACTTCTTGAATAATATCTTCAAATCCCAATCTTCTCTTATCACCAGTAATACTTCTGCTACCTCTACTACTATGGGATTTGAATTGACAATTCAATCTCTTTGTGCTAATGTGGTATGTCAACCTGAAATGATGCACTTACGTACGAAGGTCTACGTTGCAACTGACTGACTGAGTATCGGTCACAATGACGCAGAAACATTCACTCCTTAACTTATTCTAGATCTTAACTCTCAGTATTCTTTCATCCATAGTTCCTTGTTTTCAAGTGTAAATAACAAGCGATGAGGATATAACAATTCTTTATTTGCAAGACAAGTTTATGGAGACTGTGGAGTTACTTTTTGAAATCATGAATCGATCAATGTTAGACCGCTATTGGAAACCTGGAAGCATTGGACGGCCGTTTTGTCCTGCTGATTTGGTTGGACTCTTCAGCAGTGTGCATCCTGGACTTCTGCTACTTTCAAGATTCGAACGCCTAATCTCTGGAATACTGAACAGGGTATCTAACGGGGTTAAAGGCCAACTTCATTCAATTCACGGTCTTGCGCAACCACGTCGACTGTCCTCGATCAGCACTACATCACACCCGAACAGGATGAAGAAGTTTCTCCGAGTTCTAGTGAAAAGTCGTGACCAGTGTGGTTCAACTCATTGGTTTCAGGTTTCTAATGATGGTCTAACATTGATCGATTCATGATTTCAAAACGTAATGTTTTATTTTCATAAAAAAAGATTCGATATGATGCGAAAGTGAGTTTAAAGTGTTTAACAGAATAACTAGACCAAAATTATTCTTGCATTGAAGAATTGTTTTGATACAATAAAATATTGAAGAGTGTTCTAGGAAAGCTGAGATCATTCAACTAAAAACTTTCAGTGGTGAAGATGAAATTTTTTTACTTGGAAATCGAATAAGCCTCGATAAGTCAAAAAAGCCCACCTCATGAAAGATCATTTTCTTTGAGGATCTTTGGCAAAAATATGAAAAAGAACGTCCCATCAATGTTTTCTGACTTATCCTTACAAATTATGGGAGCATCAACCCTAGTTAATCGAAGAAACGAAGTCATAGAACAATGTTCTGAGTACCCTGTATTATAGATAGCTGGATCTGCTCATGCATTCGTACAACAAGAGAGTGTTTAGAATACAATATACCACTGAAAAGTATATTTTCAAACAATGAAAATGGATTTAGTTCTTGTGAAGTTATGCTTTCAATATAAATGTCACTGATAAAACACAACTAAGCAGTTAGCGTGCTTATGAAATTTCGCTAGGCGATTTCTACCACTTAGTAATAAAATAGAACTGTCAATATTATTGAACCCTTAAAAGGATTTGATTATGACCAATTTGGTCTCGTGTGCTGTTACGGGTATGAGGGCGGTTGTCAATTCCCGGCTGCCCGTACCGTAGAAGCGTGTGTCTTTGGGAACCTGAAAAAGAAGGTAGATTAGTGTTGGTCTTAGAGACCTGGGAACGTGACCGCAGAGTCCAAGGGACAACTGCTTGAGGCCGGTCACGCACGGCCTTTTTATTAAGGGTGTTTTGAGTGTTAGCTCCGCTCTTGAAAACCCTTAGTGGGCACACTTACCGACGGAGATGGAAACCCATGAGGTAGAGTGAGGTGTGACATTTTTAGGGTCAACCTTTTCTAACCCTTCCTTCCTTGTGAGAAGGCAGCATCGCTGCAGATGCCGGTTGTCCGAGGGAAACATCTTACTGCTGTCACACCTCTCTGCAGTCAGCAGTACGACTTCGCCCTCAGACCTTGGGTAGCTGCTTTTAGTCTCATCGTTCTCCAATCGACCTGCCTGGCATGGTAGAACCTTCAGGAACATATGTTCCAGCCAGTATAGTTCGTCTGGGTCATCACGATAGACAAGCCCGACCACCACGTCAAGGTAGCGGCTGCGTTCGGGCTTAAAAAGATTCAAACCAATTTCTGAAAGTACTCACCTTGTGCCTAGATGAAGTAAAATATTAAAGGTATACGTAGTATAAAATTGTTCTATATTCATACGCATGAGTGATTTCGCTCAAAAAAATCTAAAAGAAACTATTTGATTTATGGTGTCCGTAGAATCTTGTGCCATCAGGTTAAAGTTTATTTTTGAGTAAAAGATTAAGGGATGGTGTTGAATGTCTTGCTACATACAACCTAAAATACAATTATGCCACAGTGCTAGAAAGAGTTTTTTCCAATATCAATGTAAGTGTTAAGAGTAGTGTACAATGATTATTTATAATGAACGTTACACATGATAATTGAATTCCGCGCAAAAACCAAAATATCGTCTTCTCGATTCTGATTGGCTTTTCTTCAAGGTGATAATTTTAATCTGCCTTCAAACAAGTGCACAGCATAAAAATAATGTCAAGTGTAATAATACACTCCACTTAAGCGGTCGTGGACATGCAATACTGTTAAGTCTCATACTTAAACGAAGCAAACGTTCAATGTGTTCAATTCGTCAAATGATTGTTCGAAAATTGATCGATTCATGATTTCAAAACTAGTAATAATAGTAATAATCGCAGATTTGAGAATATCACGTGATCCAACCATTCAATGGTTGTAGATATCATGACCATTTGCAGTTCACTAACTTACACTATCTGTATGATTAATCACCTGATATTTTATGAAATACAATTCTACTACTAATAATAATAGTAATCATTAAAAATTATGAAATTTCAAACCTCAAGCATTTTGACATAAGTAGTATTATCGATTTTTTGATTGGTATCCGTGTTGGTCGATGCGTCACAAGTAACGCCAGATTTGATAGAGTCTTGTGATTGTCTCAATAAACGTTCAAGTTTATTTGAACGATTCTACAAGAGAAAAAATACAAGATCAATATTCATACTTATTTTTCTAAATATCGAAAGAAATAGTTTATTATTTGGAGTAATTGATTTTAAAATACTTGAGACGGACGACATTTTGTTTCGGTCCGTATAATTCTGATGAATTGTTAGTCTTGATATAACTAAACTTGAAACCCTTCTAGGGTTACTTGCCGGCCTCAAGCCTCGATAAAGGAGGAGGGTTGGGCGCATGGGGTAAACGATCCCATCCCGTAGAAAACCGACTCGCTAAAAGAATCACTAACCAGAGAAAGTAATTTATACTATTTAAAATCTGACCAGAAAGTTGGAGAGGCATTTGGAACTCAAAACAACTACGAGCCAACACCAAAATCAGAATTTTAATACCAATGTCAAGACAGTTCTCCTGTATGGGGCGGAAAGTAGGAGAACCATGAAGGTTATAATCCGGAAGATACAAGTATTTATTGACAGTTGTCTATGAGAGATACTGAGGATCCTTTAGTCAGACACAATGATTAACTACCTACTGTGGGAGAGAACAAACCATCTTCTAGCTGAGGAAGAAATTAGGAAAACGTGTTGGAGGTGGATAGCACACATATTGAGGAAATCACCCAAATGCACCACGATGCAAACCGTAATTTGTAATCGTCAAGACAAAAAGAGATGAGGTAGAACAAGGAACATACTGCACCGAGAATTGTAAACAGACATGAAAAGAACGAACAGTGATAGGATAGAACTGCAAAGGAAGACTCAGGAGAGAGTATGGTTAGAGAATGCCTGTGGGTGGCTAATGCTGCACTAGGGGTAACAGGTTTGAGTAAGTAAGTATTAGCTTTGGTACAGAAATGTATTATAAACTTTCAAGTATGCAGCTCATGGACATTTATAACAACCAAGATAAAGGTAGACAAACAAACTTATTACATCAACTAACTGTAAGTATAGATCATTATTCGTATGGAACATGTGTAGTGCCTCCACATATATTCCGGTTCGCTTATATCTAACTTGGTTAAGACCTTTCGATTAATTTATTTAACCAAGCCATAATTTGTATTGCAACAATTTATATGTACCAATTGTTCTTATTATTGTCTGGTTTGTGTATGAGCTCATATGACGTGTCCGACTTGTCATTTGACCTTGTCAATCATTCGTCGCTTTTATTCATGTGTGTGCATACCTATCTCGTTGATCACATGTCTGTCTTATGTTTGTCTGACTATGTATTCTTAGTCATGCTCTGTCTCTTTGAGTTGGCTCAACAGCCTTCTCCGATTCACGTCGCTTCTTTTGTTCTATTCACTGCTTCGCCGCTTCGCTTTGTGATGTGTCCCAAATAAACGTATTCATCACTACGAATTCATATTCTGATTTATAAACCGCCAGACGCTATTTTGCAACGATTGTCTAGAGGAGCTAGTTACGAAGCATAAGAACACGCAGTAAATCGATACACTACAGATGTATAGAAGGTTGAGATTTCTGTGATTTTCATGAACTTATAGTTTGTGAAAACGAAATTATTTATGCAATGATAAAAACTAACTTGTTGTAATAAAGTTTTCAATGCATCATCCTGTTTTTCAAAATTAATTAATTCTTCTTGATCATTATTATTATTATTGAATCGATCTGCATTGTTTTGCTGTTTTGAGCGGGTTGATTTCTTGACAATAGTAAAACAAGGAAATTCACTAATATAAACTGTAGATTGAATATTTTAAGTTTTTTTTAAAAAAATGCGTGCACTTTGATGAATTTTAATGTTAAGCAATAATGAATATTAATTATTAACAGAATTAGATCTATTTACACTTAGTGTAAGGGGGGGAGAGGGAGGAAAGCCAGGAGGGGCGGTCAAACTAAAACATGGGGCATAAATCCATGAAGTCACTGACAACTGGACTGAGTGATGTTGGTAAGTGTAGACTACCTGGTTGAGGTCAGTGAGATGATAGTAATCGATGGTTAGAGATAATGAATGACATAGCTCAAAATCGTTTGCAATGGCACAAATGCAAGCCCTAGTTTTCTTTCAGCCAACTCTTACAACACAAAACATTCCTATCGTCAAAGTAGTTGTCCCAAAAGTTAGTCAGTCGTTCAGCTAAAACGTAGAACTTGGTATGTACACACATCAGTATTCGACCATAGATGTCTTAGAAGCATTGCTCGAGTATCGTGGGACAACCGAGTAGGCAATGCTGTCGTTAGGAAACGAGTACTAGGTAAGGATGGCAAATCAATAGATGAAGTAGTGAAACTTTATCAGTTGAGGTGGTTGGGACATGTGTTACGTATGGCTAACCACCGACTGTCTCGACGAGCTATGTTTTGTGGTGTAGGAGTAGGTTGGAAGAAAGTTAGGGGCGGCCAGACCAAAACATGACAGAAATCCATGAAGTCACTGACAAGTGGACTGAGTCATGTTGGTAGATGTAGGCGCTACCTGGTTGGGGTCCGCGAGACGAAAGTCACCAATGGTTAGAGACCTTGAATGACATGGCTCAGAATCGTTTGCAACGACGGAGGTGCATCCACTCTCTGTATTCTCTGAAATTCTAATCTTCTGAATTCCTCATTACCTTTATCTTCCTCTCTGTAAATTTATCTCACTGAATTATACTTCTTGAATAATATTTTCGAACCCTAATCTTCTCCTTTAGCCCTAATACTTCTACTATCTCTACCACTATAGGATTTGAACTGAAAATTGCGTCTCTGTGCTAACTGACGCACTATTTACATGATAAATACATGTTAGTCGGTTAGTAGTAATGTGTAACCTGATATGTCTGCACCATAGTAGAAGTTATCGATACAATCTCACCATAACGAGGTAAAATTATTTCACGAAAAATATTCCCAGTGTAACAGGAGTAGTTACAATATCGGTAGTCACATAGAACATTGGGTATAAACAGGTTGCAAAAGAAAGAGTGTATATATCCGTGCAAACGATTTCGAAGGATGTCATTCAAAGTTTCTAGCTATTGATGACGAAAATTATCTGGATCCAAAACAAATAGTCTACACCTACTTCTTACATGGCTCAACTGAACTATTAAAAATCTCATCGATTGATGTCATGTTTTGGTTTGGCCACAGCCAACTCTTACCGCACACAACATTCCTATCGTCAAAGTAGACGTCCCAACGGTTAGTCAATCGGTCAGCTAAAACGTAGAAATTGATATGTACACACATCAGTTCAAGTTGTCATAGTATATTAGCACAAAGCGAAAGAATTGTCCATTGAAATCACATACCAGTATAGGAAGTAGAAGTATTATTCAAGAAGTATAATTCAGTGAAATAAATTTACAAAGAGAAAGATGAAGGTGATGAGGAATTCAGAAAATTAGAATTTCAGAGAACACAAGTCATGAATGCACCTGTGCCATCGCAAACGATTTTAGCCATGTCATTCAAAGTCTCTGAACATCGGTGACTTTCGTCTCGCGGACCCCAACCAGGTAACCTAAACTTACCAACATGACTCAATCTACGTGTCAGTGAATTCATGGATTTGTGCCATGTTTTGGTTTGGCCTCCCCTAGCTTCCTTCCAACCTAACCCTAAACCGCAAAACATCGCTCATTGAGGCAGTCGGTGGTTAGGCATACGTAACACATGTCCCAATCACTTCAAATGATAAAGTTTCAACACTTCATCTATTGATCGGCCATCCTTATCTAGTACGCGTTTCCTAACGATAGCATTGCTTACCCAGTAGTCCCAATATTCTCAAAACTTACAACCTCATAAATAAATTTTTCATATTTACTGATTACTCTATCCCTAACCTTGATATTTTTTTATCACTCAATAGTTTGTGATGACAAATGTATGACAAAATGAATTTATTAATAATACTCATATTACAAATAAACACTTCAAATATTCAAATTTTTTATCTAATATCACGACTTACAATTTCATATACAACTCAAGCATGTCAATTGGTTGAACGCAATGAAAATAGTCAACCACAGGACAGACATGTTTAAAAACAGTACACCATATAAAACTTTATCCATATTCCCTACTGTGCATACTTGTATTCATACGCAAAGTACTTTGATAGTTTTCAATGTTTATATATTTTCTTATTATTTATCTGAATGTGAACATTTGTTTTAACGACTTGATTTTTGATTGACTTGTGATTTTTTAAACATAAATTAAAACAATTAATTTCATAAGGTCAAATTGAAAATTGAACTTATGATAAGTGTTTGATATTGTCGGCATCAATGTATCATGTTGGATAGGAAGTTGTTGGCCTATAAGTTGGTGTTTTATTGTAAGTTTAGCTAATCAACTTGAATTAGTAAAGAAATTGTTCAATTTTCAAGTAGTGAAGTACAACTGTAAACTTGACTTCGTTCGCTTTGGTTTGGTTATTAGGATTACACATATAGGTGTTAGATTTAAGCCCAAGGATCCGAAACCACAAACAACCATTCACTATAGAAGACAACAAACCAGTTTTCAGCTGAAAAAGTATTTAGAAGAAAGCACTGGAGGTGCATGGGACACACATAACGGAATCCTCAATGACATGGGAAACATTTACGATCCAAGAACACATTGTGCCGAGAACTGGAGACAGATATGAAAAGAATGAATAGTACCTGGGAAGAAGTGGGAAGAAGAACCTAAAATAAAGTTAGTTTGACAATCTTGATTGGCGGCCTATGCTCCACCAGCGGTGACAAGTATAACTAAGTAAGCCTAAGTATAGTGTCCTGCACCTAGTTATAGAGTGAAACGAACATAAACAATGGTTGCGTAGTAATCTTGAAACATATGTTGACTACCATTTTATTTATTAAATATGATTTTTCAAGATAAAACAAATATTTCATTTTTAAAAAGGGGTTTTTCTTAAAACCAATGCCCTTACTATATAAATAAAACATCTGTAAAAAATTTATTGCATTACAAGGTTGTGAAGATTGTTAAGTTACACATTTTTGAAACCATGAAGACTGTGTATGAGGTTGCGCAACTCCGTGAATTGATCAAGTTAGACATTAACACCGTTACATACCGGCTCAGTGGTTCGATTGTTAGGCGTTCGTGCACAATACCGAAGGTCCTGGATTCGAATCCTGTGATGTGCAGGAGTCGTGGATGCGCACTGCTGATGAGTCCCATACTAGGATGAAACGGCCGTCCAGTGCTTCCAGGTTTCGAATGGTGGTCTAACATTGATCGATTAATGGTTTCAAAAATGTGTAAAAAGTTTATGGTCAGTGCAGGTTTTGAAGGTTTTTGAATTTCATCAAAATCATGAATCAATCAATGTTTAATCACCACTGAAAACATGGAAGTAATGGACGGCCGTTTCGTCATAGTATGGGATTTATCAGCAGTGCGTATCCACGTGCCCTGCAAGTGGGAATCGAACCCAGGACCGACGGTCTCGCACGCGAATGTCAAACCTCTAGAACAATAAGCCGGCATCCAACGGTGTTATTGGCAATTATCATATGCTCACTAGTGACTAGTTGCCTGAAGATATTTTCGAGGTTCTACTGGCAAGCTATGATCTGTCGAGTTCAATCGTGTCGGTTGTGAGGCAGTCAATTACGCAACGAAGGCAAAAGATGAGGTTGCTCAATACCGCAGATTGATTAGAGTTAGACATTAACGCCGTTAGATGTCCACTCAGTTTTCTAGAAGTTAAATGTTCACATGCAAGCGTCATGGATACACACTGATGATTAGTCTAATAATAAGACGAAATGGCCATCCAGTGTGTGCACTTTGATGTCTTCGGACAAACTGATTAACTTTTCTGCCCAAGTCGTCCAACCAAATCCGTGTTTGGCTTCTCATTACCGCCGTCGCACAAACGGGGTTTGCCTGATTACGATATAGGGAAACTAAAGAAGAGATTGATTATTTCATAATAGATTTAATTGTTCCTAAATATCGGAATCAAATGGCGAGTAACTGAAATTGTGAGTCCTACATCATATTCAATTCAGTCCACAAGCGCTTCCATGTTTCAAATAGTAGTCTAACATTGATCGGTTCATGTGTTGAATAGTGTGACCAGCTTTATATTCCTTCAGTGCTAGGTGAATTAACAAATACTAACATTAGATGCATAGATATAAAGTTTCGCACTAATTTTTTATAATCCTGAATTACTACAGACATCTCAAAATATAACAAGTATTTATTGTTTTCAACTAATGAGTATAACTCCGCCTGGCGATCTTCTAGGGTTACTGTCGGTCCCAAGCTCAGATAAATGAGGAAGGTTGTGCATACGGTTAGCGGTCCCATCCCGTAGAAATCCAACTGGCTATAAGATCGTTGGCCAGAAAAATCATTCGCTGGTCAGTGGCCTATGCTCCATTACAGGTAACGGGCGTAAATCAGTAAAAAATGAGTATATTTTCAAAATTGTATATAGATATATAATTTAACATTGATTAATTTATTGATCCGCGAGGGAAATTATACAACTTGGCATAAGTTGCACTGTTTTGTCACGTTAATTAACTCACTTCCTTTAATGTAAAAAAAATTATTTGCAGAAAAAAACAGGAACTACTTATTTATTTCAGTAGTAAACAACTTACATTTCTATATTTTATGTTATCATTAATCACATTAATTTGTCTGGATTGAATTTTATGCGCACGTGGATGATGAAATTGTTTTTTGATGAATGTTGAAGTTTTGAGTTTATTTTTCGCGGGGATATTATTGTTTAAATTACTATTATTATTATTATTATTTAATTGAGCAAAATGTTTCATTTGTTCAATGGTTTTTTGTCGTTGATTTAATTGAATTTTTAAATTGGTTATTTGACCGCGTAAATTATCTAATAGATTGGAAATGATTATTGGTTGATTAGTATTATCAATGGATTGTTTTAATGTTTCATTTGAAATTTTTTGTGTTTTATTTTCAATATTTTCTGAATTATTTAATTTCAAAATGTGATTTTCTTGTAGCGATAAATTTGAATAATTTTGATTATGTGTACAATATGAATTGATGTAGGATTCCAATGATTGAATACGATCTTCATACTGAGGAAATCGAAAAAAAAACAATAGAGTATTTGTTTATGTTGGGGATGTTAGATCACCAAAATTCGCTTGATAAATGCCCTAATTTTAAAATTTAACGTTTGGGAGCATGGGCTGATCAGTTGACCTTGGGATTTCATTTCCCTCGCAGGAAAATCCATGGCTGTGATCGGTTGCTGTGTATTTCAGTGTGCTATTTTTGTGACTGTCCCAAGGACGTTTCTATGATGTATAAATAAACGAGAGTTGTATGGTTGATTGTATTGTGATCGCTGGATGTTTGTAGAATATACTTTCTGCACTTACAAAGCCTTTTATCTTCAGCTTGGGATTCAAGATAGCCTATCTGGACGCTGGTTAATTGTCTCGTTCGCGCTTATCGACTAAAGTGAACTCGTAATAGCCTCAAGCATACTTAGTGACGAACATAACAGTTTATGAATGTTGAGCGATTTTTGATGAAATCAATGAAAATATAGTTTTAATTGGGTTTAAAATTTCTTGTTAATTTAGTGTAAATGAACACACTGAAAGATGTTTTCATTCTTGATCGGAGGATTAATGTTGTTTGTTTTCATACAGTTTTACAAGCGCAAATTTCGCCATTTCAAAATTTTATATGGCTGAAATATTTGTACTCATTGATAGTTAGGCGGTAAACATTAGTCCTTGATCGAGTTATGTTAATACTGGTTCATCGAAATAGTCAGCAGATTTCATTTTGACTAATTGAAGACTAGACTAAGCAGAATATTTCTTTCTATTAGGCAAACAAACAGTGTAAAAATGGTGAGTATCCTAATCAAACAGAGCGATTTTTTATGTTACGGGGATCGCTGACTAATGTCAATTGCCCAATCACCAATCAGATTCCTGAATCTGCTTTGATCAATTTCGCGTCCTACTGTCCACTCTATAGTTAAGTGTCTGTGATTTGGCTTATCACATCCTATTGATCTACTACCCACTAGCTTCTTTCTATACCCAACCAGTATCTGTTATATTTCTGTTTCAAATAGACGTGGTTTATAAACCAACACAAGAAAGTATATCACACCGTAAAATGAAAAATAACAATTCAACATGAATAAGCTACACAAAAAATAGTCTGTAGATAATAGACTGACAATAAATCAGGAATATTAAATCTCATATTGCTCTGTCTATTTTATTTTAGACAGCGGAAAAATCTAAACTCAAATATTCAAATCTGTTATTGATTTTAGTCAATAATTTATAACCAATGTAGGATCCAGAAGAGATGCCCGATCGGTATAAATTGTCACAATACATTAACGTGGAGAATTTTAATTCGCAAATAGGAGAAGAAATTATTTTAAAACTATAGAAGTACTTTCTCTTTTCCTCTCGCCTTGAGGATTGAATGTGAGGACTTGCCTTGTCAAGCAGATTGGGGATTTCCGCAAAGTGTATTCAATCCACTTCGAGCGTTTTTGTCCTAATTGCCTCATCAACTGGAATCTGGTTTATTCTATCCCACAGTAGGTTTTTACTGTCTAATCAACGGACATACAGTATCTTGAGTAGACAATTGTTAGTAAGCTTTCGTAGTTCTCCAAGTTCCTAAATGTTTTTCAATTCTAGAAATGCTGCCCTGCTTTGCTAATCCGTATGTTCATATCTGCATCAGATCTAGCTCGTCTATCGATGATGCTGACCAGGTACGTAAAGGTTTCTACATCTTCTATAGCTTCTCCATCAAGTATGATTTGGTTAGTACATGTATGTTCAAACCTATTGTTACAGAGGTTGATGCTAAACTGGCTGTCTTCATCTGCATTTGTTTCTGTGTGTTAGATAGAAGAGCCAGATCATCTACGAAGTCCAGACCTACCAGCTGCATCCTAGTTGCCCTCTGTATTTCATGCTTCACCTGAGATGTTGGCATCTTCTTCAGAATGCAGCCAACCACCAGGAGAAAGAGAAACGGTGAGAGGAGGACTATGAGCCGAGTTTTTTTTTTCCGAGCTCATTTTCTTAATATATATATATTGATTACCACTACTAGCTGCATACTAAATAGGATAAGTTTTTTTAATATAAAACTTCTATAAATATATCTTTAACTCTATGAAAAATTACACTCAGCTTTATTACGTATTAGCGTTGAAGTACAGTGTATGTGATAAATTTGAGCTTAAATCGATCTCACCAATAGAGATTATATTTCCAATTTTAGTAGACTACAATCAATGAATTTTGTTTTAAGTAGAAACAGTAAAAAAAAGCAACATTTTTCGCTGATTTTCTTGTTTACTACAAATTTTGTTAAGAAGAATAAAAGTATGAATCAAAAAAGGAAATATTGAATATTGACAAAGAAATGATTTATTGACAATCAAATGATTTATGAAAAACAATTAGTTTTTTTTTCATTTCATTTTGTTTTAATTAGAAGAGGCATCCATTTTACTGAGGAATAAATTATACTTGATTCAGTGCTCAATATTTTTAAATGATATGCTTAATGAGATTTTATTAATGATAATGAGTTATTAACTATGTTTTTGAAATAAGAAGTGTACTTTTAAGGTTGTTAAATTTCATGGAAATCATGAAACGATCAACGACCTGACAAAAATGGCGCTCACTAGTGACTAGCCGTGATCAATGGAGTTCAACCATGTCGAGTGTGAGGCAGTTAACCAATAAAGATAATGAGTGAGGATGCGTAATAACAACGGATGATTAAAGTTAGATATTAACATTGTTGGGCTGGATGCCCGCTCAGTAGTCAAAAAGGTTAAGCGTTCGCGTGACAGACTAAGCGTCCTGATTTCTATTCTTGCATGAGATGAGTCCCATAATAGGATGAAATGGCCATTCAATGCTTTCGTAAGGTCAAATAGTGGTCTAACAGTGATCGACTCGTAAATTACAGTTAATGAACTGTCAATCTCGTATTCAATGCTCTATATATGATCAATGTTCAATTTGTGTACTTGATGCGATTCATTAATGGATGAAAGGTTACAATCTTGTTTGTTTACTGTTTATTGTTGTTAGTGATATTGTGGTGCGAGCTACTTATAAGTAGTATATGACGTGAGTGTCAACGTAATGTCTGGCAGCAGAAGATGGGGGAAGATATAAGAAAGGAAGAGTTAGAAGAACATAATGGAATTCGTGTATGAAACGCATGAATAGTAACAATGGATTGTTGATGTTTTGCAACAGGAACAGTCCAGTTCGATAATATGATGAACTGATATTTTGCAAATTAACAATTTACGATATGGTTTTCCAATTTTACTGAGTAACTCTGTAATTTTCGTTAGAAAATACAATCCGGTTGCCCTCACCTGTGTTCTCAGTTCACTACAATATGAATATTTTAATTTGAAGAAAATATGAAGTATACAGGCGCTAATAAAGTAATGAGTGTACTTTTTATTGCTAAAAACAAAATGAAATTCATTCTGTCTTATCATCATCTGCTCTTTGGTTTAATAATGATTTAGGCTGAAAACTAACTGTCACCTAAAAAAATTTCTTTCGTTTTTTAAAAAAAAAGTTTTATTTGATAAAATAAATGATTTCAAATGTGTAAAAAACGCGAACCTCCAAAACTGTGCCCCAAAATATCGTAACAGTGCTCACTAGTGACTAGCTTCGTGAACAAATTCTCGGAGTTCTAATTGAGAAGACGTGACCAGTGGAGTTCAACTCTGTCGGGTATAGGCAGTAACTACCAAAGACCAACGGTTGAGGTCGCGCATAATCCCTAGATCAATCAGAGTTGGACATTAACACCGTTGGATGCCGGCCCAGTGGTCCGATGGCAAGGCGTTTGCCTACATTGCCAAAGGTCCCGGGTTCGAACCTGCGAGGAGCAGGAGTCGTAGATGCGCACTGCTGAGGAGTCCCGTACTAGGACGAAACGGCCGTCCAGTGCTTCCAGGCTTCTAATGGAGATCTAACAATGATTGATTGATGATTTCAAGTGTGTAAAAAACGCAAACCTCCAAAACTGTGCCCCAAAAAAATAAATTAAATTGAAAATTTTATTTTTTTTAAAAAAAAATAATACTTTTATGTTCATCATTTTTTTTAAAAAAATAAAAAATAAAAAATAAAAATATTTATTTTAAATAAATGATTTAATTGAAATCGCATATAAATATTGAATTTTTTCACCTTGAACTTTTGACCATTATAACAAACAAAGTATGTGGAGAAAAAATAAATTAATATCGGAGGATTTCAAAATATCACAGTTGATAAAAATGTTGATGAAAATTAATGGGTGTTTTATTATTTCTTCTTCCAATGTCCAGGAAAAATTAAATCAAATTTTTTTTTAAAAAAATGTCGGTTTTTATCGTGTCACAGAATAAATAAATGTTTGTTTTGTTTTTTTTGCAGTGATTTGAAGAAAAAAATTAGGGGAAACAATTCATTACTACTGCTTTTTGTTATTTTAGTAGTATAATTGAGTTTGATGACAAATAAGGTGAAAAGTAAGTAGTTTTGGACGCTATTGAATAACTGTTGCTCATACCTATAGGGTGTTCAAAATCCTAGTAAGTGAATTTATACCTGGTAAATCAGTACATTTCAGTCAATCATCAATCGTATTCAGAAGTAAATAAGTAAAAATTTAATTATTTACTTACGCTTGTTACCCACAATGGATCATAGGCCGCCAAACAGTATTCTCCAGCCTACTCTGTCCTGGGTCTCCCTTTCCAGTTCTGTCCATTTTTCGTTCATTCTTCGCATATCTTTCTCGATTTCTCGGCGTAATGTGTTCATTGGCCCTACTCTTTTCCTTTACCCTTGAGGGTTCCAAGTGAGGGCTTGTCTTGTGACGCAGTTGCGTGCTTTTATCAGTGTGCGTCCAACGCTTCTTCCTTGTTTCCTCCTCCACCGGAATCTGGTTTTTTGCCTCCCGAAGTAGGTTTTCACTGATGGTATCTGCAGTAGAAAATGTTAATTAACACTTGTATCTACTGGCTGATGGCATTTGTAGTTCTCCAAGTTTCCTCTCCATACAGTAGAACTGTTTTGACATTGGTATTGAAAGTTCTGATTCTGGTGTTGATTGATTGAGTTCCTGATTTCGTGCAGTTGTAGAAATTCTGTCCTTGCTTTGCCGACCATCGCCCTCACATCTGCATCAGATCCATCCTGCTCGTTAATGGTACTGCACAGATATGTAAATGTCTTTACGTCCTCCAGGGAATCTCCATTACGATGGATTTGGTTGGCTCATGTTGTGTTATATCTGATAATCTTGCTTTTCCCTTTGTGTATAACGAAAGCTGGTCGTCTGCTCTTGCATAAAAATATAGAGAGAAGAAGTTTCTAGGTTTCTGTAATGCATTTTATTTATTCTGACCGTCTTTCAAGTTTTCTTAGTTGATTGTTATACAGCAGAATTAGTAAGCTTTAGTGATAAGTGTGGTCTCAGTTGCCTACACTTTGCTTGTATTTCTTAGAACACAGCTTGCATATCAACCAGTGATTTTTAGTTATTACGCTGAGAATTACGAACCTAGATTCCAAAGTTAACTAGTTCAATATAAAATCTTTAGAAATGTTTATTAAGAGTGATGTTCAAACGCAATTAAGTGTTGTGATGAAGTATATTATTTGTGAGCAATTTAGTTTGTGATTTTGTTGTGCCGCGATGATGATGATCAGGTACTGTAGTTTCCGTTTTCACTGGAGAATTAAGGAACGATTGAGAATGGTGGTGTTTCGTTCTCTGAGTTGGATGTTTTGGTTGTGGAACATTCATTTTCCTACTGAACAACACATCATCAAAACAAACTTCAGATAGAAGTCTATCCAGCTCAGAGAACGAAACACCATCACAATCATGCAACCGAGCTACAAATTTTCCCCACCCTCTGAAGAACGATTGATTCCAGTGTGAATTCCATAACGCGGCAGCTGGGACACGACTTGCTCAATGGTGTAAACGCTAAGGGTACACGAGAAGGGTCGACGGTCTTTGGTCCCATTTGCGATAATGGGGTCACTGATGTACGCTTCATGAAAATTCCATTAATAAAACGAAACGGCCGTCCAATTTGTTCGGGTTCTTAGTGGTTTAGTCGATAGTCAGAAACGAGTAGTATTTGTTTAATTTGACGAATGAACTTGATCGACAGAATCCAGTCACCACTGGCAGACAAAACAAATGTGATAGTGTTCATTTATTCAATGATCAGTCAGATTAGTCTACGTCCAAATAACTCACTGATAGCACTTTAGGTCTATCGAATAGGGTAAGGCTGATTCGAATCCCATAAGATTCCCGATAGGTATTGCTGATGAGTTCCAACTAATACGAAGCCTGAATGAGGTTGTTTCTCTTGAGATCGACTTTAAATTATCTAAAATCGATTGACTTTGAATACACTGAATCCAATGCTTTACTTAAATAAAGCCAAAAATAATCAGTTCAACTAAGAAATTATTGATTACCTGTAATTTAACTCGTTCATATTGTTGTTGCAATGAACGAATAGCTCGTTTTTCATTGTCATGAACTCTGTCTAATTCCGATTCGAGAAATTTAATTCGTTCCAAAAGAAATGATTGTTGACTTTCAGTTACTGGATCCTCCTTCCATTGATAACATTTGAAAAAGAAATTAGAGAAAGAAGGGTATAATTTTCAGTAGTAATTATGTATAATGGGCATGAAACTATTAATTATGTGCTCTGATGATAATTTCTGAATTGTAATAACTTTGAAAAGAAAAGTATTTTGATAAGTAATTTTTTCCGATCATAGATGTGTCTTTCTTTGAATGCTAATTTCTGTGAAATGAATGATTGTCACAGTGTTTATTCACAGTTGTCTACGCAGAATACTGAGGATCCGTTGACCAGGCACCATCAGAAACAACCTTATATTTGAGGAATAAACTACGAAAAAGTGCTGGAGATGGATGGGACAAACACTGCCGAAATCACCCAACTGCATCAAAAGGCAAGCTGCAACTTGGAATCCCCAAGACCAAAGTAAAAGAGAAACACTACAGAACACATTGCACTGAGAATTAAAGAGAGACATGAAAAGAAGGAATATCAATTGGATGGAACTGGAAAAGAAGGTCCTCGACAGGGTAGGTTGGCAGACTAGGCGCCATTAGGGTTATCAGGTTTAAGTACGTAAGTAGGTGAGTAAGAGTGATTGTCACATCCGAATTTCTAATTTTTGCACAAAATAGTTTAAGTTGTACAGCCTTTGAATTTATTTCAGTTAGATTTGTCTAAATAAATATGACTCTCAGTTTGATCAAATTTACAGTCTTGCGTAACCTCATCCACTGTCTTTGGTGAGCAATACTTCACACCCGAACAGGGTTGAACTCCACTGGTTACGACGACTTCTCACTAGAACTTGGAGAAACTTCCTCAAAGCAAATAAAAATGTATTACTTATGTTTTATCAAACATAAATAACAGAAAAAATCTCCACATATAATATTTGAATCAATGATGAGAAAATTTATTTCTGTCGATTGAAAATAGCGTTTCAATTAAAAAAATGTTCAATTTTTTTATCTATGCAGATTGAATATAACACAAAAAGTAACTTTCACCCAAAACTATTTGATGTTGTATAAGAGTTTGAGAACACAAATTTTGTAATGCCATATGGATGAATTTATATTTCGTGATTTTCGTCGACTTCTATAGAAAATAATCTGTAGAAAACTCTGATAGAATAATAATTATGTAATTGTATGGAGGATGCTACTCACAAGGTGATATATAAGTAATATGTCATTCACAAAAACGAGTATCTGGATATCAAAAGGTATGGCGCGATTAGAGTGTATAGAAGTTCATTGCCATACTATCATTCTTTTTTTCTTAAAAACAAACTATTTATTTACAATAACTGTTCTTAGTTTAGCTAACAATAGTCTCAAATTCATTACGACTACCCTTACACTGTGGTGCGCGCTACTTATAAGTAGTATATGACGTGAGTGTAAACGTAATGTGTGGCAGCAGAAGATGGAGGAAGATCAAGAAAGGAAGAGTTAGAAGAACACAATGGAATTTGTATGAAACGCATGAATAGTGAAATGTCAGACAATGGATTGATGAATTGGATTGAAGATTTGCAAATTAACCGTGGTTACGATATGGTTTTCCTGTTTTACTGAGTAACTCTGTAATTTCCGTTAAATACAATTCAGTTGCCCTCACCTGTGTTCTCCTTCACTACAACACTATTTACTCAAACTCGTTCTCACACTACGCTGATATTGATTAGTGAAATGATTATATATAATCACTTCAAATTTTAATGATCAAACTTTAGACCGCCTTCTTCTTAAAATGTATCTAAATCTAAACAGATTTATGTTGAGAGTGTCAAACTTTCCACTGACATAAGTCGTGTATTTTTCTGTCAGTTTTAAATAAAAAAACATTTAGTCTTTTATTACTCACATCAAAATTATTGATCATTGATCAAAATACATCAAATTTGAAATGAAGAGTAAATGAAGATAAACTCCATGTTGTCAAATCATCTAGTATGTAATCGTATTTAGTAATAATGATTATGTTCTCATTTATGTATATAATTTCGGACAGTTCTCATTATAGAAATGATCAGAGGTTGAAATTTTGCTACACTTAACACGCCCGTAACAAGTTATAGTGATATTTCTGTCATAGGAAGCTTTCCAATAATTACGACTTTCTTTGCAAGGAAGTCTGAAGTGAGTTGTACTGTGAATAGTACAAGAACTGAGGTAAAACCAATAATTTTTTTCATTTAGAGTTATACAGATCATTGTTTTTACAGATCGAAACCATGAATCCATCATCGTTAGACCACCATTAGAAGCCTGAAAGTACTGAACAGCCATTTAGTCCAAGTGTGGAACTGATATGCTCGTCAATTGATATGCTTGAATGCTATGACGAGTTCACCATCTTCGGTAAATGAGGGCGAAGACAAATGATGCAGTGACACGATAGGCTATTCTAATCCATTTGTCGCTGACCCGGTTAACTAGATCAAGAGGTTTTGATAAGGCGTCGAAAGTGTATTCTACAAGCACCCAGAAAATACGAGATTGACAAGCACACAAATCGCGCTTATTTATACATGATAGAAATGTCCTTGGGAGAGCCATAAAAACAGCCTACTAAAATAATCCATCGACCAATAACAGTCAAGGATTTTCCGAGTGGAAAAGGTGAGCAGAAGGTCAACTGGTGCTAAAATATGGAAATTCAGAATAAAATTACGAATTTAAGGCCTTTCCAAGTGAGTTCTGAGGATCTAACGTCCTCAACAGGAGCTCACCAACAGTGCATATCCACAGGATTCGAACCCAAGACTTCCGCTCTTGAGCGCAAACACCTAACCTCCAGACCATTGGGCCAGCATCCAATGGTGGCTGAGCAAGGCTACTGTTGACTCTCATAATAGAACGAAATGACCGGACATTACTTTCAGATATGTATAAACTCTATTTCATTTTGTTTGATTTTTAAACAGACAAAGTTTAAATAATGAATGACAATAGAGTTTATACCTTCCAAATGCCTAATAAATTTCTATGAAATGAATAACACGCGATTTCATATTGATACGTCAATATATTTTAAACAAAAAAGTTCAGTAACCAGTCAAATTTATTATTCATTTTTTAAAAAAAAATATGAAGAAAAAAAACCAGAGAATAAGAAATTTAGAAATTTTTTTCGTGAAAAAAGGTATACAAAGAATAGTTTTGTTGACGAAATGAAAATTTTTAAGGAAAAATGAAAGAAAATGGGTAGAAATACATATATATATATATGTATAAATGTGCATCTATTTATTCCCTGTTCAGTGAACTGATTATTTTGTGTAGTAAAAACTAATGTCACGTTCTTATTGTTGTAGAGCAGAGAGAGAGAGAGTAAGTAAATCAGCATACATTTTCGTATAATAACAATGATGATTGAAATAGTGTCAACACTTAACTCATTTATTATAAGGTTTTTATATTTACTGGATTAAAATGCGTTTGACTGATTGAAAAGATGATTCAGTGAATAAGTGAAAATGGAGAATTTGTACGATAACATATTCTAATGTCAAGCTTTCTCTTTCTCCTGGAGATCGATTGGATTATGGAAACGTCAACGTCTGGAGGGGGGCGCGTTATACAGTGGACAGCTAGGATGCAGCTCGATGATCTGCCTCTTCTATCGCACACACAACAATCAATGCAAGGCAAGGCGACCAGTGTAGCAGCAGCCTCAACGGAAGCAGGTCTCAACATACACAAAGGGGAAAGCAAGATTCTCCGATAAAACACAAGATGGGCCAACCAAATCACTCTCGATGGAGATGCCTTGGAGGACGTAAAAACCTTTGCATGTCAGGGCATTGACGAGGAAGGTGGATCTGATCTAGATTTGAAGGCGAGCATTGGCAAAGCAGGGGCTGAATTTCTACAACTGCACGAATTATGGAACTCAAAACAACTATCGAACTACACCAAAATCAGAACTTTCAATACAAATGTCAAGACAGTTCTCCTGTATGGAGTGGAAACATGGATGACTACAAATGGCTTCATCCAGTAGACACAAGTGTTCATTAATATTTGTCTGCACAAAATATTTCGGATCCGTTGTTCAGACACGATCAGCAACATCCTACTGTGGGAGAGAACTAAACAGATTCCAGTGGAGGAAATCAGGAAGCGGTGGAAGTGGATGGAACACACATTGCGGAAAGCACCTAAATGCGTCACGAAACAAGCCCTCATATGGAACCCTCAAGGCAAAAGGAAAAGAGGAAGACCAAGGAACACATTTCGTGAAATAGAGAAAGACATGCGAAGAATGAACAGAAGTTGGACAGAACTGGAAAGCGAGGCCCAACACAGAGTAGGTTGAAGAATACTGGCCAGCGCCCTATGCTGCTTTGGGGGTGACTGGAGTGAGTAAGTAAGTAAGTACATTCTAATGTGATGGAGATGAAAAATACTTTGTTGAAGCATTCATTACTAGGGTACAAATACACTTAGTTGATGAATTAATTGGACTTTTGAATTTACACTAATTTTTAAAATTGTTAAACAAATGACAATTCCTCAAAATTTCTTATTGAAACAATGAATCGACTATTGTTAGACCACCATTAGAAACCTGAAGGCATTACTGGGACGGCTGTTTTGCCTTAGTATGGAACTTATCAGTAGCTAGCATTCAAAATCCTCATTACTGGGAACCGAACCCAAAAACTTCAGTCTCGTGTACGAGGATTTTACTGGTTTTGTAACTCATCAGTAGTGAGTATACACAGTTTCCCATAACGTTTGATCATAAACAGTAATCAGGTACTTGACTTTTCTGAAAGCCATGCTGATCTCTTCCATGATTGGTGAGCCAACATTAATTGAGAGGTCCGTAGGTGCTGCTTCGCTGTTGCAAGGGTTCGATGTAGCTAGTCGATTCAAGAGTTTATCAAATTGATCTACACACACACCTGTTTCGTTGTTCTTCAATATTGCTGATTACTTAATCTTCCTTGCTTTCAACGGTCGTTCTGGTTTATGATTATTTCCAGCGACCTTCTTTAATGTATCATAGAAATGTCTCATGTTTCCTTCTTTTGAAGCTTTTCCGGCCGTCGTTGCAAAATCTTCGACATGTTTACGTTTGTCGGCTCTGATGCTCTTCTTCACTTGCTTGTTTGCGCTTCTGTATATTCAGCTTGTGCCTTGTCTTTCTCTGCTCTTTTTCAACCGATATCGATCGCTATTTTCTTGTTTCTCATTTCCTGAATTTTATCCCGTGTATCCGCAGAGATACACTGCTTCTGATGGTGCTTCTTGTAGGTTCGGACATGGGGTTGGTAACCCCACCTTATTTAAAAAAAGCTAACCAGAACAAATTATTAAAACCATTTAAATTCTCTCCTAAGTGTTGGAAGGTTGTAAATCCTCATGGTGAAAGCCAAGTTTTTTCAGAAGTCACTCGATAAATGACTCTTCTGACAAGAAGAAGAACATCTCATCAAGATACCAAAGAAAGGAGATCTCAACAAGTGTGAAAACTACGGGGACATGACTCTTTTCTCAATATCAAGGAAAGTATTTAACAGTGTTGTTAAATCTAATGAAAAATCAACTAAACGCTCGACTTAGAGATCACCACTCAGGATCCTGTAAGGAATAATCATGTACACAACAAATTGCATCACTACGAATCACTGAGGAACAATCAATTGAGTGGAATCGATCACTATACACAAATTTAACTGACTACGAGAAAGCATTTGATAGCGTGGGCAAGACAACACTATGGGTGCTTCTTCGACACTACGGGATGCCTGAGAAGATAGTGAACATGATCGGAATTCTTATGATTGATTAAACTGCAAAATCGTGCATGGAGGTCAGCTGACAGAATCAATCGAGGTGAAGTAATTGCCTCCTTAATCCCTTTCCAGTTGTTCCTCATTGTAGTTCCCTCTCCACTGATAAAACTTAATAACACAAAAAGTTTGTCTATTCATCCAACACAGAACGTTTATCTACACAACCATATTCATTTCTTCCATGGTCAACACATCCATTTAGACACATTCAAATGTCAACATCACTTCTCCATCGTACAGATTTCATTTTTTCCGTACCTCTAACCATGATATACACAAATAAACATAAGTGTTAGCTTACAGAGAGAATCGCTCTGACCGGAAAAAAACAATTCCCCCTAACAAATGACATCATGATCACAATATCCAGTTTTGATTTTAAAAATTTGAAATTAATATTCTGCTTGGATGCATTTTTAATTTATTTAAACTTGTTGTTTTAATTAGGTTATTTATTTATTAATTTACTATGAAGAAATGATTTACCCCGTTAATCATAATGAAACATTAGAAAATTCAACTGATTGAAAAATCGCATCATGAAACACCCGTTAGATCTATATTGGTAGTTGATAAGTCGAAACTATTTACGGAAAATAAGAATAATAGACAAGTTTAAAGTAAATGATGGGAAATTAATTTTTTTTAAAAAGAAAAGTACAAGTTATGAATAGTTAATTTGTTTAGTAAATTGAAAGTTGAAAGAACTAATTTGTGATTTAGATGAAAGGAACATTTTCAGAACAATCAGCGACATAAATAAATAACAATTGTACATTGAATGAAATGATGTGTTAATATCAATTAGGTTAAATGTTCAATCTAAATAAAATATAGCGTATCAATATAAAAAATGAATTAAGATTGAATGTTAATGATAATAAATGAAACAAATTGATTGAGACCATGAAAATCAAGTGTGTAAGTTATAAAAAAACACTAGTTAATTTGGATCATTTCATAACCGACATGGTTATTGGCATATTGAACAAAAGGTCAATCAAAGAACAAAGGAGAATTCAATCCCGACGAAGATTGAAGAATGCTGGGTTCTAGGGTCAAATATTTCATCTGAAACATCTGTCTAGTGCTTAACTCCTCCTGGAGATACTGACATTCCCAAGCACGGATAAAAGAGGAAGCTTGGTCTTGGGGTTAGCGACCCTATCCCGTAGACGACTAATTTGCTAAAAAGCTCTGACCATAAAAATCAATTGAAACCATTTAAAATCTGCTCTAGGATTTAGACCTCACGATGTTAGCCGAGTTCCTTCCGAAGTCACGAGGCTAATGCCCCTTCTGACAACCAGAGCAACAATTAATTCAAGTAAATGAAATGTTCGTAGAATGTCGAAGATCAGCAGAGTCATCCAAGTTGCTGCAGAAATGAAAAGATTCAACCTGAAGGTACTTGGATTCAGTGAAATAAACTGAAATCAGGTTGGACAACAACAAAATCACAGAGGAACAAGTCTAACTAATATAGTATCTCAATAATACGCAAACACTTAACGAAAGTTCGTGAAGAACAGACTGGAGAAAAACAAGCTGGTTTTCGACCTGGACATGGATCCATAGACTACATTTTCAGATCAACAACATTCCATTCTTCCATGGTCAACACACCCATTCACACACATTCAAATGTCAACATCACTTCTCCATAGTACAGATTTCATTTATTTCATACCTAACCATAATATAGACAAATAAACATAAGTGTTAGCTTACAGAGAGAATCCCACTGACCGGAGAAAAACAATTCCCCTAACAAATGACATCATCATCACAATATCCAGTTTTGATTTTAAAAATTTGAAATTAATATTCTGCTTGGATGAATTTTAATTTTTTTAAACTTGTTGTTTTAATTAGGTTATTTATTTATTAATTTACTGTGAAGAAATGATTTACCCCCTTTAATCATAATGAAAGATTAAAACAATTCAAATCTTTCCTCATTGATAAGTCAAAACTATTTATCAAAAATAAGAATAACAGACAAGTTGAAAGTAAATGATTTTAAACAGAAAAGTACAAGTTATGAATAGTTAATTTGGTTAGTAAATTGAAAGTTGAAAGAACTAATTTGTGATTTAGATGAAAGGAACATTTTCAGAACAATCAGCGACATAAATTAGTAACAATTGAACAATGAATGAAATGATGTGTTAATATCAATTAGGTTAAATGTTCAATCTAAATAAAATGTAGCGTATCAATATAAAAAATGAATTAAGATTGAATGTTAATGATAATAAATGAAACAAATTGATTGAGACCATGAAAATCAAGTGTGTAAGTTATAAAAAAACACTAGTTAATTTGGATCATTTCATAACCGACATGGTTATTGGCATATTGAACAAAAGGTCAATCAAAGAACAAAGGAGAATTCAATCCCGACGAAGATTGAAGAATGCTGGGTTCTAGGGTCAAATATTTCATCTGAAACATCTGTCTAGTGCTTAACTCCTCCTGGAGATACTGACATTCCCAAGCACGGATAAAAGAGGAAGCTTGGTCTTGGGGTCAATCAAAGAAAACAGGAGAATTCAATCTCGAGGAAGATTGAAGAATACTGTGTTCTACTGTCCGATATAATAACAAAACCGCTTTTAAGTGCTTAACTCTGCCTGGGGTCACTCTAGGGATACTGCCAGTCCCAAGCACGGATAAAGGAGGAAGGTTGGGAGTAGGGTTAGCGACCACATCCCGTAGAAAACTAATTCGCTAAAAGAATGCTGACCAGAAAAAATAATTTAAACCATTTAAACTCTGCTCTAGGAGTTAGGTCTTCATTTAGAAGAGTACTGACGTCTCATGATGAAAGCTGAGTTCCTTTGGAAGTCACGAGGCTAATGACCATTAATTTAGGTACATGAAATGTTATTACAGTCTGGAAGACAAGTAGAGTCATCCAATTTGCTGCAGAAATGAAAAGATGCGATCTGTAGTTGTTTGAAACTGGTGAAATATACTGAACTCAGGCTGGACAACAACAATGACTAGCTCCAGGAGAGCTGCTATTGGTCAACATCCTATGCCTTCTTGGGGGTAACAGGAGTAAATAGGTAAGTGTCTAGTGCTTCCTGATTCTCGATAATTATTTAGCTAAGAGTAGTTCATCATGTAAACTTGAAGAAGAACAAATGAGAGTGAACAGAGTCACTTTGAATTAAAAGTACTGATAACATTGTGTAAGAAGATGTTCATTTTTGCCTACATCAAACTGGTAATAAAACGATATTAATTTTTCTAAAGTTATTATCTGATGTTGTGAAGATTAATTTGAGTTGTAAGTTTACATAATAAACTGATTCGAGTTAGACAACCATTGGAAAATATTCCGTATGGGGATATTTATTTCGATATTATTGTATAGGATTCCATTCCAATGGGCATACTCACAAGCCTAATTAATAAAATACTGATATTTTTAAATCAAAACAACTGATTATTATTGTTCGCAGTATTGAAATAAAAAATCCGACTCATTTGAACGAACTTCGATATGCTCTTAACTTTATATTCTAGTGAAAATTTCACATTCACGTTAGGTTCTTTTCAGGAACACAGATTAATTTCAAATTCTGATTTATTCTACACTAATTTTCTTCAAAAAACTCGGCGAACTATGAAAGCCATTATTATCCAACAGTTTTCTACACAAAATACTGAGGATCCGTTGGTCAGATGCCAGAAGTAACAACCTACCATGGGAGAGAACAAACCAGATTCCAGGTGAGGACGAAATAAGGAAAAAGCTCTGGAGGTAGTAAGGACACAAATTGAGGACATTGCTCAACTGCTTCACGATGCATACCATAACTTGGAATCCTCAAGATCAAAGAGAAAGCGGTAAATCAGACAATCACAATGCGCTGGAAATCGGAGACCGCCATGAGAATAATGAACAAAAATTGGATAGAAGTAGAAAAGAAGGCCAATGACAGATTAGGTTACAGAATGCTAGTTGGAGGCCTGTGCTTCATCAGTAACAGCAGGCGTAAGTAAATAAATGACTAAGTAAGCAGTTTAGTCAACGTCTACTCACAAAATATTCATCTTGGTAAGTTATACTTTGAATACTAATTTCAGAAAAACTAATTTCATCTAACCTTATTGTCACATGACTGTTTGGATTCGTTTGATTTGGGACCAGAAATCTGTTTACTTTTATAATATGATAATTCTGTTCGCAATTTTTCCAGTTCTCTAGCCTACAAGTGTAAAAGAATAAATAATACAATATAAAATAGTTCACGGAATGTTTTTAAACTTGAAACCATTATTTCAACATTTAAAGAAATCTCAACTAAAATTAAGCAGTCAAATGGATTTGCATTAGGGGGTAGTGGAGATAGTTGAGTTACTTTTTGAAGTCATGAATCTATCAAAGTTGGACAACCACTAGAAACCTCGAAGGGACATATCAGCAGTGCACAATCACGATTCCCGCGACTCGCAGGATTCAAACACAGGATCTTCGGGCTTGCGCGCGAACGGCTAACCTCTGGACCACTGAGACGGGTTCAAACGGTGTTGTTGTCTAACGTCGATTAATTTGCGGTCTTTTGCAACCTCATCCACTGTCTTCGATGGGCACAGGGTTGAACTCCACTAGTCACGACTTCTCACTAAAACTCGGAGAAACTTCCTCATAGAGCTAGTCACTAGTGAGCATAAATAGTTTGCATTATGAGGTTAGGGGAATTGTTGAGTTACTTCATGAAGTTTCATTTTAGTATTGGACTAATCAGAAGTGAGCATCCACTGAGCTTAATTTAATAACCTATTAAAACTAGAAAGTACTGAACAGATATTTCTTGTGTAAATCTTATGACCTTCTATAACAGGAATCCAATCCTGTCAAGAATAACTGTTATGCTCGACTCTAGGTATGCTTAAACTATTACGAGTTCAACTTGGTAGAATAACGAGAACAAACAATGACCCAGCGGTCCAGGTAGGCTACTGTGATCCACTGACCCAAAAATATTAACGCGAAGTCTTCATAAAGTGTAGAAATTGTATTCTACAAACACCCAGCAAGCACACAATGTATCCAAGCACTCAAATTGCGTTTATTTATTACTCCATAGAGACATTCTTGGGACAGTCACAAAAATAGCACACTCAAATGACACAGTAACCAATCACAGCCAAGGATTTTCCTGGTGGGAAATGTGTGATCTCAAAGTCAACTGATCGGTCCATGAAATAAATCCAAAATAAAGATATTTATCAAGCGAGTTCTGGGGATCTAACATCCCAAACAATAACTTAATTGACTTTTGATTGTACTAAAAAATATTCTGCGATGTTTTCTCTTAGTACTAGTAAGACTTGTGTTAATTCATTTCGGCTATTTATACATTTACTTTGAACAAGCGACTTACATCAAGTTACAAAATATCAGAGATACAAATTTCTATTCGTTCAGACAGAGGTATACAACTTTCAATATTGAAAGTAAGATACAAGGAATCAATGAATATATTTGTTTCAATGTGATCGATTTTTAAACATGTCATTGGACAAAATCTAGCCTAATTTTAGACTGTTCAGTTGGTATAGCAACAATCTACTGTGGGAAAGAACAAACGACATTCCGGGTGAGGAAGACACCAGGAAGAAGTGCTGGAAGTGAATAGGACACACATTGAGGGAAGCATCCAACTGTGTAACAAAGCAAACCCTAGATTGTAATCCTCAGGCCAAATTAAAAGAACAAGACCAAAGTACGCATTACGGAGACAGACATGAAAAAGAATGAACAGCAATTAGATATAACTGGAAAACAATACTCAGAATGGAGGAGGTTGGAGAATGCTAGTCGGCAGCCTTATGCTTCATTGAGGATTACACGCTTAGTAAGCAAGTATCTTAGTTAGTGTCCAATGATTTGCATTTCCTGTCATCAGTTGCAGTTAATGTTGATTGTTTTACTCATTGAATTTCATCGAGTGCAACTTCTTACTGAAGAATTCTGTTCAACTGTTGATAAATTCTTTATTGATTGTATTACCGAGTTTATCCTTTACTGGATACCAAGGCACATTACACAAAGACAAGATTGACGACCAAAAAAATAGAGAACAAGAGAGTAAATGGAAGACAGTACCTTACTCGAAACAATTACAAGCAGTCCCATTCACTGAGTCTAGGAATAGAAATCAATAAGCGAAAATGAAATCACATATTTTCAATAGCCAGTAGTTTGTGCTCATTGATCACTAATCATATTTCCCTTGGACTACCATCACACACTAACTCCTGATCCCTGATAAGCGCATAACAGTATGTTCCGCGAACATGCTGACCTTCTGATGAGTCCCATAACAGGACGAAACGGCCGTCCAGTGCTTCCAGGTTTATAATGGTGGTCTAAAAATGATTGATTGATGATTTCAAGTGTGTAAAAACACAAACCTCCAAAACTCTGCCCCAAAATATCGTAACAGTGCTCACTAGTGACTAGCTTCGTGAGGAAATTCTCGGAGTTCTAGGTGAGAAGACGTGACCAATGGAGTTCAACCCTGTCGGGTGTAGGCAGTAACTATCAAAGACAAATGGGTGAAGTCGCGCAAAATCCGTAGATCAATCAGAGTTAGACATTAACACCGTTGGATACCGGCCAAGTGGTCCGATGGTTAGGCGTTCGCTTACATGTCCGACGGTCCCGTATTCGAATCCTGCGAGGTTCAGGACTCGTGGATGCGCACTGCCACTGAGGAGTCCCATACCAGGACTAAACGGCCGTCCAGTGCTTCCATGTTTCTAATGGTGATCTAACAATGATTGATTGATGATTTCAAATGTGTAAAAAGACACAAACCTCCGAAACTCTGCCCCAAAATTAAAATCATATGTTTTTTATGGTGAACTTACTTGACTTTCTAGCTTTTTTGAATCTTTAATAATAATTGACTGGTTTTCAATGTACCAACGTAATTTCTTTTGAAGATCTTCAATTTGACTAAGGAAATTTTCTTTCATGCTTGTATAGTCAGATTGTGATTTTTCTTTAAAAGATTCATATTTTTCGGTTAAATCATTTTTCTCACGTATATAATTGTTTATCTATTATAAAAGAAATAAGAATATAATTGACTACTTTGAACAATCTAAAAGTAAGTAGGTAGGTATGTTTTGTTAGGTTCGTCACTAGGTATGCTTGAAACTATTACGGGTTCATCTTAGTCGATAAACGAGAATGAGACAATGAACCAGCGTCCAGGTAGGCTACCTTGATCTGCTGACTAATGAAAAGTCTTGATGTAGCGTAGAAAGTATATTCTACAAACACCCAACAAGCACAATACAATCAAGCACAACAAATCTCGTTTATTTATACATCATAAAAACGTCCTAGTGGGACAGTCACAACAATAGCGCACTAAGATACACAGCAGTTAATCACAGCCAAAAATTTTCCTTTTCGGAAATGAAATCTCAAAGTCAACTGATCAGCCCATGCTCGCAAACGTGAAATCCAAAATAATGCATTTATCAAGCGAGTTCTGGGGGATCTAATGACCCCAACATGTTTGCGTGTGTATGTGTGCGTGTGAGTGTGTGTGTACATACTTTGATGAATTACGCATAGAAGGAGATCGTTTAAAAATAGTGTTATAAATAGCTTAAGACACTGAAGAGTATTCGTAATTCAAGATGTGAATTTTCAAGCTGTTTTATTCTCAAAAAATAAATTACCTACAAAATTTCGTAATATTTTGAAATAACACTGTGTATAATCATACTTCTCATTTCTAAATGTTTATCTGTCAATTAATTATATTGACGAAGTTTTTCTTTTCAAAATTGTTTACTCTAACAATCTTATTTAGAATGATAATGAACATCTTCACGCTTGAACCATTCACTTTAAAATACGCTACAGTGCCGTAATGGTTTCAATGAGATACAAAAAAACACCTTGATCATTGAAAACCTAAGAACTGTCCTAAATGAACTGAATTATTTACAAGTAATTAATTATTCGTGTTGATTTAGGTAAATCGATAGTACGCATTTCATATCATAGAAAGTGGTTTAAGATGGCCATGAATCACCATCACATCTTTGAAGTCCACGCTAGGATTCGAACCCATTGAAAAGGTTATAGGTTATCTAAACTCTACAAAATACATAAGAATGTATAAAGTTTGATTTGAAATAGAGACACAAACACTGGACCATAGGACTAGTCTACTGCGTAACAGTTCGCTCCATCCTACTACATGAGTGAGAAACATGGCCAATAAGAGTAGAGAATATTCTTTGGTTACTGGTTATTGATCCAAGGTGTCCTTGAAGTATTGCTCATATATCTTAGAAAAGCCAAATTAGGAAACAAGTACTAAGTTAGGATGGCAGACCAACAGATGAAGTAATAAAACTTCGTCAGTTGAGGTGGTTGGGACATGTGTTGCGTATGCCCAACCACCGACTGCCTCAACGAACGTTGTATTGTGATGTGGGGATAGGTTGGAAGAAAGCTAGGAGCGGCCAGACCAAAAAACATGGCACAAATCCATGATGTAACTGATAACTGGATCGAGTCATGTCAGTTAGTGTAAACTACCGAATTCGGGTCCAAGAGACAATTGTTACTGATGGTTAGAGACCTTGAACGACATAGCTCAGAATCGTTTGCAATGGCGGAAGTGTATCCACTCTTTGAGTTCTCTCAAATCCTAATCCTCTGAATTCCTCATCATCTCTATCTTTCTCTTTCTAAATTTATCTAAATCTATTCAAACAACTAACTTTCTTATTACCATAAAAAATATAAGACGTTGCATGAGAAAACTATTGAACTGGAATAAAATCTTATTTAGAGCAGAAAGAAATGAGTTTATTTAAATTTGCATTACGGGGTTGTGAGGATTGTTAAGTTACACATTTTTGAAACCATGAACCGATCAATGTTAGACCACCATTAGAAACCTGGAAGCACTGAAAGACGGCCGTTTCGTCCTGGTATGGGACTCCTCAGCAGTGCGCATCCACGACTCCTGCACCCCGCAGGACTCGAACCCAGGACCTTCGGTATTGTGCGTGAACGCACGTTAATTCCCTAGAACTCACTTGGAAGAGGTGCTAATTTGGTAATTTTATTCTGAAATTTCGGTTTTTTTTATGTTTTCGCGCCAAGAGACGCTTAGTTGACCTACAGCTTATATTTCCCATTCGGAAAATTAAGACTATCATTGGTTGACGTATTTGTTTTAGTACGTTATTTCGGGGCTCTCAACAAGGGCTTTTCAATCATTGTATAAATAAGTTTGATTTGTGCGCTCAGCAACCTCGAATGCATTCTCTCTACGCCTCATTAAGACTTCTTGCTCTAGTTAGCAGGGCCAGGGACAATCGGATTAGAATAGCCTATCATATCACTGTATCATTGATCTTCGTTCCGTTTACCGAGTAAGCTGGGCTCGTAATAGTTTTGAACATATCAGTTTAGATCTGATGAAGAGGACTAAATTAATCTGTTCATCAAACAACTAGTTTTCTTTTCACAATAGAATACAAAAAAGGTTGTACAAGAAAACTATTAAAATATATGAAATCTTATTTAGGAGTCTAGTGTCTCCACATACATTTGAGCCTACATGCATATTCATGCCTATCCACATTCATATGTTAGGCTCTTAAATATCTCGATGTTTGTGGTCTACCGGTCCGCTTTGTGGTGTGTCAAAAATAAACGTTTTCAATACTTTGTATTTGCCTTCTGATCTATAACCGTCAAGCGCTATTTAGTGACGATTGCCTAGATGAGCGGATTACGAAGACTAACAGAACACGTTGAATATCAACCGTCATCACAGGAGTAAGAACAGATGAGTTTGTTTAAAATATTTCAACTCAAAAATCAATATCTTGAAACTGTATTTAAAAAATGCGCGCTTCTCATTGTATGTTGATGAATGAAAAAAACTAATTTCTCAGATCAATAAATAAATAAGAAACTTGATAAACTAAAAAAAACCCAACTTTTAAATAGGATTTATGAATGCATCAAATCATTCGAGTATGAATACATTAGGTAATAATGCTAAAATGAAGTTCACTATATAACTTGTAGTATGTGTACTACTAATATATATTATGTTGAGTCCAGATGGCTTGTCTTAAACTTTCGGACACTCTGGCCTTTTCAGCCTGAGTTACCGAATTCGTACGTACATCATTAGACTTCGTCAATTACCTCGTCCATATGTTGGCTGTTTTTTTTCCTTTACTGCATCTATGCATAGCTTACTTACTTCGTTTGCTACATGTCTAGCCTATTTTTGTCTGATTATATGAATAATTATTCATGCTTCATTGCATTGAGTTGGTTAACTCATATTCTCCACTTCTCGCTTGGCTTGTATACTTTTCAGTCTCATTCATGTCTGTCCTCATGGATGATTGCTTCAAATTAAGCGCATCCAACCAAATTTGTATTTGTATTTGGCTTCAAATTAACCTTCGTCGCTCAAACAAATTTGGCGCCAAGAGATTAACATTTAATTCATAAAAATATCTGTTGATTATTATTCGATCTGATATTGTGTGTTTCATGAAATCTTTGAATATTTTGAACGAAAATTGAACAGATTTCTGTGAATTAGTAATCGTTTTGAATGTTCTATTTATGAAATTATAAATTGAGATGGTGGAGAAAATTTGTAGGTCAGGTGGATGATTGCGATGGTGGTGTTTCGTTCTCTGAGCGGGATGTTTTGGTTGTGAAGCTTTTATCGTTCTTCTACTGAACATCATCATCAGCAAAAACTTCAGATAGAAGTGAAGCATTCGAATTTCTCCACGTTTGACTTGTAGGTTGTTCTGCTAACCTCGATCTTGATTGGTTGCTGTTGATGACAGGTTTAAGGTCAACAGCAACCAATCAAGATCGAGGTTAGCCGAACTAGCTACACGTGAAACGTGGCGAAATTCGAATACTTCACTTCAATAGTAGGTCAAATGTGGTTAAACCGACTCAAAAAATAATCATTACAAAACAATGAAACCATTATGTAATAGGAAGTATGTACTTCATAATTAGCTAGTGAAAAATTTTAACAGGAAGAGGCAGAAAATTACAAATATAATGAGAAATATTCAAAACATTACCTTCAGGCAGAGTTTTGGCGGTTTGTGCTTTTACACATTTGAAATCATCAATCTATCACTGTTAGACCACCATTAGGAACCTGGAAGCACTGGATGGCCGTTTAGTCCTGGTATGGGACTCCTCAGCAGTACGCATCCACGACTCTTGCACCTCGCAGGATTCGAACCCAGGACCTTCGGTAGTGCGGGGACGCCTAACCATCGGATCACTGGACCGGCATCCAACGGTATTATTGTCTTACTCTGATTGATCTAGGGATTTTGCGCGACCTCATCCATTTTTCTTTGGTAGTTACTGTCTACGCTCGACAGGGTTGAACTCCATTGGTCGTTCGCGCACAATACCGAAGGTCCCGGGTTCGAATCCTGCGAGGTGCAGGAGTCGTGGATGCGCATTGCTGATGAGCTAGTCCCATACCAGGACGAAATGGCCGTCCAGTGCTTCCAGGTTTCCAGTGGTGGTCTAACAATGATTGATTGATGATTTCAAAACATTGAAGAATAGTTATAATTGTAATCAAATAGAAAATAATTCATTCAAAACGACAAATAATAAAAGAGTCCAATCAAAGCGTCAATTAATCAATGGATAAGATTATGTTCAATGAATGAAAATGAAGAGAATTCAACGAATAAGAATATTTTGTAATTTCTACGATACTAGGAAGAAAGAGAATTTTTTTCACTGAACTCTCATCATTTCTATTCAGTAGTAGTTACACAGTGGGTTACTGTTACGCCTGCACGTAAACACGTCAACTTGATATACTTGAACTATTACGAGTTTACCTAGTCGGAAAACGAGAGTGAAGATCGAGGATCCGGCAACCGACATGGTACTCAAATCCGATTATCCCAACACCCATATATTGAGTAACATAAGAAGACTTGATATGACCTAGAACCTATATTCTACAAGCATCCATAAAGCATGAGGTCCGAAACCAGAAGAGGATCGGGATCCCGGACTAGGGATCCGGGACCTTGTCCTGACCCTGGTCCCGGTCATAAAACGTTACAGATAATGCGTATTTATACATTTTGGTCGAATAGGAAACAACATCGAATTCTGTGACATTCACAGTTAAGACGACTAATAGGAAGCAACATTTGAAGTGACATTGATAGTCAGGACAACCAATAAGAAACAACATTGGAGCACATGACATGATATCTAGAACGACCATAAAATTTCAAAAGCGAAAAAAAGGTGATGAGGAATACAGAATGTTATAATTTTCGAGAACAGAAACCACGGATGCATCTGAGCCATTCCAAACGATTTTTTCACGGACCTCAACCAGTTAGCCCACATCTACTAACATGACTCAGTCTAACTATCAATGAATTCATCGATCGGTGTCAGGTTTTGATTTTGCCGCCCCTAGATTTCTTCCAGGGCTACCCCTACATCAAAACAACATCCATCACTCATCGAGGTAGTGATGTTGTTCAATTCAACTAGATAAAAATGATATCATAAACAATCAGTGTATCGTTTATTTGATTTAATGAATTAATCATTATTCTACAAGCTTAGACATTTAAATATTCCGGAAGTATTTCCGAATAGATTTATAAACTACTACTACTTACTATGCATTAGTAATCAATTTCAAGTAGTCATCCATCTAAAAGGTACAGTAATTTTTATCAACTTTCTACTTCTTCTCAAATGGTCTCTCTGTCTCTTTGTAATCATTGACATTTGACATGGATTAAACAAAATTTATCTACTTCTTCTTACCTTTAAATTAATGTTTGTTATCTCTGTTCGCGCATCATTTAAATCTTTCAATAACTTGTTTTTTTCACAATCCAATTGTTGATTTGATTCTTTCAATTCATTAATTTGATTTTCTGTCATGATCAAAATAAAGAGAAAAATAATTCGACTTATGTCTAGTGATTAATAATACTACTACTACTTCCCATACTATTACTACTACTACTGTAGCCAATATTAATCACCCCTGCCCCAGTCGGGAACATACATGTTGTCCAGTTTGGTCCGCAGACAGGTGGACGTCCATCAAGCACTTACACGAGCAGTGGCCCCCGCTCGGGCACTTATGAATCAACAAGATCCCTCCAACCAGTCCACTACCCACAAACCCCAATCGGCAAGGGCGACAGGAGCGGCAAGGCGGGCTTACCCAGCTGGACCTGGTGCCCCGAAGTGGATTACCGAGCCACCCAAACAGTACACTAGCCAGCAGCCGTTCCAACCGTCTGGCCTCCAACTGCTTGCGCTGATACAATCGACCGAAGGCTCCACATGAAGCTAAAGATCGAGTTTGTCCCACAAGGTCAGCCGGAATGTACACCTTTCCATGAGGAAGATGTCATGAGCTCGACCAGGCGCAATCGCCCGCCCAAACAGGGTTCATCCCACTATGTAAGTGGGCAGACATCATTGGTGTCCAGTACCAGTTCAGCACTGGAACCCCGGAACCCTGCTGGAGACTCCTGTTTAGGGGGCCTCGTCGCCAGTTCACACACTACATCGGGTGCAGAGTTTAAGGGACAACCACATAGGGTTGGCGCCAATAGTCCAGGATCTTTACGGCTGCTTCCCCAAATAGAACGTCCAGGGCTGCCTTCAATCATTCTGGAAAGCTACATCCCTTTCAAGGTTCTTGCTACTACGGAATGATAGAGCACAAGTCCTTAAACCATTATCGGAATTTACCTACGCTCGATGGACGGGATTCAGACTTAGAGACGTTCAGTCCTAATGCCCCAGAGTGGTCAAACGCATCCACAGCCTTGCGGCTGAGGCGGAGTTGGCGGTGCAGGGGACGCTGCAGGGAGGTGAGGCGAAGGCGGTGTACGACAGCCTGGGCGGTGCCGCCGGGAAGACGGCGTGAGAGACGGTCACCGGGCGTCTGTTGACGGAGTTCGACAGCCCAGTGGACAGGGAGAAGGAGCCGCAGGAGTTCCGGTTGGCGAGGCTGTCGGCTGATGTTGACCCACAGGCGTTTGCTGAGGAGCTCGCCAGATTGTTGCGCCGTGCTCTGCCGAATATCGATGAGGAGTCGGGGGCACAGTTGTTGGCGTCGCAATTTATCGAGAGTGTGCCTGCCGCCGTGTCCCAGCAGCGGGAACTAATAAACGCTACATGTTGAATAGATGCCGTATCCATTCCAGACCAGCGGGCAAGAACAATGACCGAAGTGGTAATCCGGCATACTGTAGCGTGTCACGGAATAAGGAAGGCGATATTAACTGACCAGGGTCCCTGTTTTAAAAGTGACGACAGCTTATTAAAAGGGGGGACGAGTGTGGTGCGAGCTACTTATAAGTAGTATATGACGTGAGTGTAAACGTAATGTCGTTAACGTAATTTTCTTTAAATACAATCCGTTTGCCCCACCTGTGTTCTCCTTTCACTACACTACTACTAGTACTACTACTACTATTACGAATACTCCTGCTGATACTACTACTACTACAAATACTGATAGTACTACTACTAATACTACTGCCAAACCTTATTCTACCTTTACTGCCACTAATACTACTACTAGTCATGACAGTAGTAATTACGTTATTAGTATCGTTCTCTATAATTCACTTACAATATGATTTACAATTCCACTCAATAAATCATTTCTAGAAAATTTTCATTCAAATGATTATGACAGAAAATCAAAGTGGACAATATAGGTATTTACATATTATATGTATGTATGTATTTGAATTTTTCAAAATTCCAATGTCTTATTTGCATATTTCTTATTGAATATTTTCTTTTAAAAAAAATAAAACAAAATTTCGGTGGAAAAGGGAAATGAATTTGTTTTAAATTCATAAATCGTTTTTTTTTACCAATTCATTTCTCTTTCAGGCGAATAATAAGTAGTATTGTGGTGCGTACTACTACTTACCATGGAGTTTACAAGTAGTATGCAGTGGTCGTCATGCAACAGAGTGTTGCCTTAAAGTTACAACCGAATGGAAAAAAATTCATATATGGAATAAATCGACTGATCTGCTTGTTTTGAGGAATAAAAGAAGCGTGAAATAAAGCAGCCAAGAATACGATTATTCTGCGCATTGACATTTTATGATAAGCTGAACAATTTTTTTTGACTAGTATATTGTGTCTACTTTAAATAAATGGCAAGGATCATTTTTTAATGATTCCCTAAGTATTCATTTGTATTGGTTGTTTTAATTTGTCCATTGAAGCTTATGACTGTGGTGGATTTCTCTCTCTTAGGAATATGTGCATTTTGTAAGGATTGCTTTTAGGTTGCAAGCATTATTTGGATTAGTGCATTTGAAGCCTAACGAACTGGGGTCGAATTCCGAAGCGATCGTCAACTCCGAAATTCAGGTACATCCAGCTGACGAGTCTCAAATAGGACAAAACTCGCGCCCTGGATTTCTCTGATAACCATTATCTACCTCTGCTAGTTATGAATGGGTTTAACGTTCATCACTTACTTACTTACGCCTCTTACCCCCGATGGAGCATAGGCCGCCCACCAGTTTTCTTCAACCTGCTCTGTTCTGGGCTTCGCTTTCCAGTTCGTCCCAGTTTTCGTTCATTCTTCTCATATCTTTCTCGATTTCTCCACGTAATGCGTTCCTTCGCCATCCTCTTTTCCTTTTGCCTTGAGGGATGGTACTTCTTGTGACCCAGAACTTCGTGACATGTTTAAGTGATTGCCTCCTTAATCCCTTTCCAATTGTTCTCCAACGTTGCGTCCTCTCCATTGAGTAGATCCTGAAAGGCCTCGAACCTATTGGTGAGGCCTATCCTGAATTCGTTGAGCTTTACAGTATCCCGAAGAAAGGCTGTATTAAACTTCTGTGATGTTGTCTTCCCCGTTGTCCAGTGCTTCTTTAGTTTCAGTTTCATTTTGGCGATCAGCAAATGGTGATCTGAGGCTATATCAGCTCCTCTCTTGGTTCTCACATCTTCCATAGTCCTTCTGAACGTTCTGTTGATACAGATATGATCAATCTGGTTTTGAGTAGTGTGATCCGGTGAAATCCATGTAGCTTTGTGAATGCGTTTGTGCGGGAATATTGTGCCACCGATGACCAGTTTGTTGAAGGCACATAGGTTTGCAAATCTCTCACCATTCTTCTTAGACAACTGTTATTAAATGCTTCGACCTTCTGGATGATGGCTTCCGTAGTTCTCTAATTTTCCACTGCATACATCAGAACTGTCTTGACATTTGTATTGAAAATCCTGATTTTGGTGTTGATTGATATTTATTTGGAGTTCCAGATATTTTTCAAAAGTAGAAATGCAGTCCTTGCATTCCCAATCCGCGCCCTCACATTTGTATCGGATCCACCTTGGTTGTCGATGATGATGCCAAGATATGTAAAGGTGTTCAACGTTCATTGATTTACATAAAACTTCATTCACCAAGTACTTGGTTATGTATCACATTCGAAGTTTGAAGCCTAATAATACTATAATATTTTCCTGATCAGAGGAGGTGAGTTGGGCCTCGAACCGTAGACGTTGATGGCACGTTGATGGTCAGTAAGCAGTGAATACCGAAATGGGCAGTGGTTGAGCATATGTAATGAGAAATATGAATTTCTAAGGCATACTTCTAATACGTATCTGTTAAAACTGTCCTGTTCAAAAATAATGTCACTGAAGAAAATTTCTGATCGCAATTTTCAGTGAAACCGTGCAATTGTATCTAGTTTTTGTAATATATAAACAAGTTTACTGGGAAAATAGAATAACTTTTTTGGATTTACTAATCTGTTTTTTCAAAACATATTTCTGAACGTCAATCATATTGATTTTTGAACGTGTCATCATTAGTTCAATGTAAGTTGATCATTGAATCTAAGTCAGTATGCTCAAATTCAAACTATATGTTTTGTATGTTATACAAACTATTGGTATTGTTCGTAAGCATAGATCAAAGTAAGTTCAGGGAGATTTATTTATCTTCGACCCCATTCTTAATAGTATTTACAGTTCTACTTACTAATAAAAAAAGTAGTCAAAACTAAAGAGAAAAAATTATCTTTTTTTTTTCTGTGAAACATGAACATATTTTGTTTGATTGAAGTTGGTTAGGTTTCTTTTTGATCAAAACATTGAACATTGAATAGAAATAAATCAAAACACCCGGAATTTCAACGTTCAATGTTTCCCTTAAAAAATTATAACATAACTGATTCCTACACATATATATTTCTTGCATTGTTTAATCAATTATATTTTTGAAAAAAAAAATAAAACATTTAGAATTATTTACCTTGATTCAACCTTGAATTCCTAGATAACATGGTGCCTATTTGTTGACTACGCAATTTAAGTTCTTTATTTAACTGTTCAATTTCAAATCTTAAAGTAAGATTTTCAGTAGTAAGACGTTTAGCTGTTTGTACATCTTCATTTTCAATTGGATGATCCTAGAGATTGAAATGAAGAAATAGCACATATAAAATTGATTTGACATAGTATTCGGATGAGATAAAAACATGATATCTTATTGTAGAATAATAATAATAAGCCTACTGTGATTATAAATTTAGTATGTAGTGGTGCGTCGATTTACTGTCTGTTGTTCTTAAGCTCGGTAATTAGCTCGTTTAGACAATCGTTACTAACTAGCGTCTGACGGTTTTTAAATCAGAAGGTGAACTCGTAGTGTTGAATACGTTTATTTGGGACACACCACAAATCGAAGCGGAGAAGCAGTGAATGAAGGGGATGAAGTGACGTGAATTGGAGAAGGCTGTTGAGCCAACTCAAAGAGATAGAGCATGACTAAGAATGTATAGTCAGGCAAACACAAGACAGACATGCTACAAGCGAAATAGGCACACACAGGAATAAAAGCGACGAATGGTTGACAAGGTCAAATGACAAGTGGAACAGGTCATGTGAGCTCATACAAACCAGACAATAATAAGAACGGATGGTACATAGAAATTGTTGCAATACAAATTATGGCTTGGTTAAATAAATTAATCGAAAGGGCTTAACCAAATGAAATGTAAGCAAACTAGAATATATGTGGGGGCACTACACAACAACTTTACTGGTGAATCTGGAGTACTGTGTCGAATATACATTGTTTCCTCTTGGTGTTTCTCATAAGCTTATGTTTCTGTGTTATTTCGAAGTCGGCTTTATTTCATCAAGATAATATGCACGATGTTGTGTCTTATTGGTTGTTCCATTTAGGCATTTAACACTGCTGATGAACGGAAGCCTTCAAATATCATATATCGATTTAATCTCTTCTCTCAATATCAGGGAAAGTCTTCAACAGAGTGTTGTTAAATCTGATGAAAAAATCAGTAAACGCTCAACTTCAAGATCACCACTCTGGATTCCGAAAGAACCAATCATGTACACAACAAATTGCAATACTACGAATCACTGAGGGAAAATCAAGTGAGTGGGATTGTTCACTACACAACAATTTAACTGACTACGAGAAAGCATTTGGTAGTCTGGATAGGACAACACTATTGGAGCTTCTTCGACACTACAGCGTGCCCGAGAAGATAGTCAACACCATACGGAATTTTTACAATGGATTAAACTGCAAGATCATGCTCGGAGGACAGCTGACAGAATCGTTTGAGGTGAAGACCGGTGTCAGGCAAGGTTGCTTACTCTCACCCTTTCTCTTTCTCCTGGTGATCGACCGCATTATGAAGACGTTAACATTTGGAGGGAAACACACTATAAAGTGGACAGCTCGGATGCAGCTGGATGGTCTGGATGTCGCAGATAATCTAGTCCTTCTATCATACACACAACAACAAATGCAAGAGAAGAGGACCAGTGTGGCAATACCCTATGAAGCAGCTGATCTCAACATACACAAAGGGAAAAGCAGGATTCTCTGGTATAACACAACAGCTTTAAAAGATGTACAAACCTTTTAATATTTGGGCAGAGAAATTGATGATGATCTAGATCATTTATCCCACACGCAAAAACAAATGTAAGAGAATATAAACAGTGGCAGCAGCCTCTACAGCAGTAGGTCTCAACATATTCAAGTGAAAAAGCGACATTCTCCGATAGAACAAAACATGCATCTGTAGTGAATGAGAACACAGGTGGAGGCAACCGAATTGTATTTAACGAAAATTACAGAGTTACTCAGTAAAATCTGAAAACCATATCGTAAATCGTTCATTTGCAAATTATCAGTTCATCATATCGAACTGGACTGTTCCTGTTGCCAAACATCAATCCATTGTCACTCTTCATGCGTTTCATACAAATTCCATTGTTTTCTGACTCTTCCTTTCTTGATCTTCCCCCCATATTATGCTACCCGACTTTACGTTGACACTCACGCTATATACTACTTATAAGTAGTTCGCACCACAGCACCACACTCGTCCCCCCTTTTAATAAGCTGCCGTCGTAGTCCTTCAAAACAGAGCCCCTGGTCAGTTAATATCACCTTCCGCATTCCGTGACGCGCTACAATATGCCGGATTACCACTTCGGTCATCGTTCTTGATCACTGGTCTGGAAGGGATACGGCATCTACCCAACGTGTAGCGTTTACAAGTTCCCGATTCTGGAACACGGCGGCAGGCACACACTCGACAAACTGCGACGCCAAAGACTGTGCCCCGCCCACTCCTCACGGCGCAATCCGGTGAGCTCCACAGCAAGCACCAACAGGTCACCATCGGCCGACAGCCCAGCCAACCGGAACCTCTGCGGCGCCTCCTCCCTGTCCGCTGGGCTGTCGAACTCCATTATCAGCCGCCCGGTGACCGTCTCCCACGCCGTCTCCTCGGTGGCACCGTCCAGGCTGTCGTGTACCGCCTTCGCCTCACCTCCCCGCAGCGTCCCCAGCACCGTCAACTCCGCCTTAGGCCCCCACCAGCTCCACCGTGGCCCCAAACTCCTCCAGGAAGCTCCGCCAATCTCCGTCCTGCAACTCCTTCGGCCACGGGAGCCCCTTCTTTCGAGCAGGCAGCGACACCAAATGTAGTGAATGAGAACACAGGTGGAGACAACCGAATTGTATTTAACGAAAATTACAGAGTTACTCAGTAAAATCGGAAAACCATATCGTAAATCGTTCATTTGCAAAGGATCAGTTCATCCTATGGAACTGGACTGTTCCTGTTGCCAAACATCAATCCATTGTCACTCTTCATGCGTTTCATACAAATTCCATTGTTTTCTGACTCTTCCTTTCTTGATCTTCCCCCCATATTATGCTACCCGACTTTACGTTGACACTCACGCTATATACTACTTATAAGTAGTTCGCACCACAGCACCACACATCAACTAAATCCCTCAGGTCAGAGAAAAAGCTGTAGACTTAGCAACACATTGCACCGGAAATTCGAGATAGATGTGAAAAGAGTCAATAGCCTTTGGGAAAACCCAGTAAAAATTTGGTTACAGAGTGCTGTTTGGCAGCCTTTGCTTCATGACGAGTAACTGATGTGTATCAGTGACTGTGTTTACAAAGTTACGGCCTTGGTTTACCTCTGAATTTTGAAAAAAAATCTAGCTTTTCATTCAGTTTCCTCCGCCTGTTATGGTCATACGGATTAAAGTCACATGTATGAAGTAGAATCTGTCCGTGGTTAGAATATTTGAAGGTGTTTTTCTTCTGAACGGCTAGAAGATTTATTAAGGTATCAGGATAAGGGATATGTGAAGAAAACATATTCTTCTAGGAGAAAAGAACGCAAACTCACCTTACGTAGTTTTTTAATTTGTTCATACAACTTTTCATTTTCTCGCTGATAACCGGCGATTAGTGATTCTTGCTTTTCATATTCCTTTCTCAACTCGTCCATGTTAGTGAAAGTACGCGGAGATTTATTAATGTTGGCAGCATGTGAATCTTCATTATTATTATTATTCTTTCTAGCATTCGCTTCTTTCATTTCAGCATTTAGGTTCATTAGCTTTTCATCATTATGAGTTATTTTTTCGTTATAATGTGAACTGCCCTATTTCATAAAAAAAAAGTGTAAAATTATTTAAACCGTATTTTTTGCGTGTGAATTCGGACTACTTAATTTTTTATTAAAGTAGAATATCAACTCTCACTAAAAAACCAGTTCGAGCAAGATATATTATTGCGAAGATGTCTAAATGAGCTAATCCAGATATACTAGCACCCAGCCAACAATTTTCATTAAAAAACTCAGCATACTATCATTAATTAACTCAAGGTACCGTTAAAAATGATAGATTTTTATATTCAGTCAACAAAACTAAATTTCACTTAAGTATTAATGTGCGTGACAAAGACATTGATAATTAGGGGAAAATTTTTTAGTAAAGTTAGAAACTGATTGAGTCACAAGAATATCAACTCTTTGTTTGAAATGAAAGTTTCTTTTAAAAAAATGAAACCTAAATCATTTCAAGTAACTATACAGAAAAAAATCATCATGATGTCACATTGACAGAAATGATCACTTCTATTAAGTTAAGAAATTCGTTGAAATCATGAATCACTCATTTTTAAACCAATATTAGACACCTGGAAGCACTATCCTGGTAAAGGACTCATCAGTAATGCACATCCACAAACCCATGACCTCTGGTCATACGCGCGAACACTGAACCTCTAGACCCCTGAACCAGCATCCAGTGGTGTTAATGTCTAACGGTGACAAATCTAAGGTTTTGAGCAACCTCATCGTTTGTCCTCAGTAGGTAACTGCCTACAACCTACAGGGGTGAATTTCACTAGTCACCGCTTCTTACTAAGACTCCGAGAATTTCTTCATGAAGCTAGTTACCAGTGGACATATTTTATGATATTCGTTATAGAGTTATGAAGATTGTTGTTTTCCATAACTCTTTCTTGAATTATAAATTTTCAGTTTACTTATGAATACTAACCAACCAGCATTAACTACACAAAAGATTCGAGATTGAACAAGAATAATAGGACTGTCCAGTTTAATAAGATTAAGAAAAGACGCATATTTTTGATCGTTGTGACTAATTTTGACATATCTAGAAAAACGTCTTGTGATTACTAAAAATGTACACGATTGAATTATATTTTTTGAGGATAAGATATTGACAATTGACTGACTTACACAACACTCTGTTGATCTAGCTGATATATAATAAGAAATTATTTGTCGGGAACAACATAAATCTTAAAAAACTATGAATGGACTTTTTTCTTGTATATTTTGTCGCATCAAATTGCCAAAATTTCAGAAAATATCAGCAATCGTTTAACCGTAAACATTTGATTACTTGTTAAATCTCTAAATATTCCATTAAACACTTTCAATCAATGGTGATTGATTCAATGAAAAAAGTAAGTGATCCATGTGTTAAGCGTAAATCAAACACTAAAGGCCAGATACTTCTATACCAAATAAACCATTGTCCCGACCGAAGTTGCTACCTTGACGTAGTACCTATATTGATGACCCAACCGAGCTATATTGGCTGGAACATATGTTCCTGAAGGTTCTACCATGCCAGCTAGGCAGGTCGATTGGAGTACGATGAGAGTAAAAGCAGCTACTGAAGGTCTGAGGGCGAAGTCGTACTGCTGACTGACTGCAGAGGGGTGTGACAGCAGTAAGGTGTTTCCCTCGGACAACCAGCATCTGCAGCGATGCTGCCTTCTCATAATGAAGGAAGGGTTAGAAAAGGTTGGCCCTAAAAATGTCACACCTCACCCTACCTCACGGATTTCCGTCTCCGTCAGTAAGGGCTGCCCAATAAGGGCCTTTAGGAACGGAGCTAATACTCTAAGAAACCTTTCATAAAAGGCCGTGCGTGACCGGCCTCAAGCAGTTGTCCTTTAGACTCTGCGGTCACGCTCCCCGGTCTCCAAGACCAACACTAATCTATCTTCCTTTTCAGGTCCCTCAAGAAACACTCTTCAGCGGTGTGGGCAGCCGGGAAGTGACAACCGCCCTGATACCCCTAACAGCAAACGTGACCAAATTTGTCGCAAGCAAATTCTTCCTACACCTCCATCGTACTTCAAAATACTCAAGTTAGATTTTTATGGTAGAGTTTTCATCCAATCATTTATTGTCAAAAGTCTATGAAAAAATTTTTAATAATGTTTTAACAAAATCATTAACTATTTGACATTTAAAACAACTTTAAATAGTACGCCAAATAATTGTAAATAGTTTTTCTGTTTGAAATATTTTATAAAAAGGATGGTGGAGAAAATTTGTGGCTCAGTCAGGATGATTGTGATGGAGTTTCGTTCTCTAAGCTGGATGTTTTGGTTGTGGAGTTTTCATTGTTCTTCTACTGAACAGGTATATAGAAGTGAAGTATTCGAATTTCTTCACGTAGTATGACTCGCCGCTTTCCCTGTTGACCTAGATCTTGATTAGTTGTTGTTATTGACTTTAAACCTGTCGTTGTCTACATCTCTATTTTGATTGTATCCCTCCTTGATTCGGTTCTCGATCTTATGTTGGTCTATGATTTTTCTGATTGGCTGATAAATTATATCAATATCAATGTGTTTTTGGTTGATTGACATTTGACTTGAGTGCCAAGCTTCTGAAAATTCTTTAGTGTTCTTCGTATTCCCTCTATTCGTGTTAGAATATTCATAAAAATATCCTAAAAATTATTATGAAAGTCTAATCGTATGTTTTCACATGTTTCCAAACTTTCCACATATTTCACGCGACGTTTCCTATTGGTTAATATTCACAGTTGTCCAACTGTATAAATACGCATCATATGTAAAGCTTATTATTCCTTTTGTACTCGACGCCATAAACAACTTTCATCTAACGGTGTTGTGTTCAGATACATTGGAGATTTGGGGAACAGTATTTTAGGTCATACTGGAATATCTGAATTCGGTCAATCGGTAGGATTTCGAGTACTTACTTACTTACTTACTTACTTACGCCTGTTACCCCCAGTGGAGCATAGGCCGCCAACCAGTTTTCTCCAACCAACTCTGTCCTGGGCTTCCTTCTCCAGTTCTGTCCAATGTTTGTTCATTACTCTCATATCTTTCTCTATTTCTCGGCGCAGTGTGTTCTTTGGCCTTCCTCTTTTCCTTTTGCCTTGAGGGTTCCATGTGAGTGGTTGCCTTGTGACGCAGTTAGGTGCTTTTCGCAGTGAGTGTCATATCCACTTCCACCACTTCTTCCTGATTTCCTCCTCCAATGGAATCTGGTTTGTTCTCTCCCACAGTTCGTTGTCGCTGATCGTGTGTGGCCAGCGAATCCGAAGCATTTTGCGTAGACAACTGTTAATAAACACTTGGATTTCGAGTAGCCACATTATAATATTTGGCGATGGATTATTATTTACAATCGAATTGATATAGAAGATGTAGATCAGCCAATCACGATCAACGTCAACAGAACAAGCCACGAGTCACACCACGTGGATAAAGTCAAATACTTCACTTCTCTACCTTAAGTTTGTGTTGATAATGTTGTCGACAACAAAGATGACACTTCCACCAACCAAACCTTCCAGCTCACAGAAAGAAACTTTACCATAACATTTCATAAAACTTAATTTGAAGAAAAAAGTTCATTTTACTTGTAAATGTGTTATGATATTTTGTAAACGAAATACTTCCGCTTCATAATTTGATCGTATATCAGACAGTTGTTTTTCATATTCTATTTTATCCATTAATTCAGCTTGTAATTTTGCATTCTATGATGAGAAAAAGCAAAACATTTTTTTTTTCAAATAAATAGGAAGAAAAAGGGGATTATATTAAAAATAAAATGATTGATTTATATATACTTAAATTTAGGTTCATCAAAAGTCTATAAGTTGTTAAGAGTTCATGCACGAGACTGAATATCCTAGGCTCGAATCCTGAATGTAGCAGGAGTTGTTGATGCGCACTGATACTGAAGAGTCCCAATACCAGAAAGAAACGGCCGTCCTGTGCTTTCAGTTAGTCAGTCAATCAGTTGCAACGTAGAACTTCGTGCGTATGTAGATAAGTTCGTGTTGCCATACCACATTAGCACAGACACGCAAATGTCAAATCAAATCCCATAGTGATAAAGATAGTGAAAGTATTAATGGTAATGAAGAAGACTAGCGGATTTGAAAATATTATTCAAGAAGTATCATTCAGTGAGATAAGGTTAGAAAGACAAAAGTAGAGGTGCTAAAGATTTCAGAAGATTAGGATTTGAGAGAGCTCAAAGAATGGATGCACTTGAGCCATTGCAAACGATTTTGAGCCATGTCGTTCAAGGTCTCTAACCATTGGTGACTTTCGTCTCGCGGACCCCAACCAGGTAGTCTACATCTAATAACATGACTCAGTCCACTTGTCAGTGACTTCATGGATTTCTGCCATGTTTTGGTCTGGCCGCCCCTAACTTTCTTCCAACCTACTCCTACACCACAAAACATAACTCGTCGAGGCAGTCAGTGGTTAGCCATACGTAATACATGTCCAAACCACCTCAACTGATGAAGTTTCACCACTTCATCTATTGATTTGCCATCCTTACCTAGCACCCGTTTCCTAACGACAGTATACGAGCAATGCTTCTTAAACATCTATGATCGAAAACCAATAACCTACAAACATCTACTCTTAACGGCCATATTTCGCAGCCATATAGGAGAACGGAGCGAACTGCTGCGCAGTGCACCCGTCCTTTCAGGTTTCTATTGGCGGGATAACAACAATGATTGATTCATGATTTCAATGTACAATTTTAATTAGCTTAGAACTAATAAAATACTAAACTATTATGTTAGTTTTCATTTAAAGTCAACCATCTGTAAAGAAAATTTACAGTGAAAAGGTTTTTGATATTTCAACATTAATACATTGGTAATGATATAATGTATATTACCATTTTCTTACCCAATATTAATTAATTCAGTGTATATCAAAGATAGTTGTCATTAAGTATCACTTGTTCAGATAATGTCAACTTTTAATAGAATGAATTACGTATAATCATTATCGACATTACTGTAATAAATATCACATGATCAGTCGATCAGTAACAACGTTGAACTTAGTATGTACGTACGTACGTACATACGTCAGTTCAAGTTACCATACTGTTGGGGATGTTAGATCCCTCGCAGAACTTGGTTGATCAATATCTTTATTTTGGATTTATTTCACGGACTGATCCCGCTGACCTTGGGATCACATTTCTCACCAGGAAAATCCTTGTCTATGATTGGTTAATGTGTCATTTCAGTGTGCTATTTTTGTGACTGTCCCAAGGACGTCTCTATGGAGTATAAATAAACGCAATTTGTGTGCTTGGCTGGGTGTTTGTAAAATACACTTTCTATGCTATATCAAGACTTCTTGCTGGCACGACTGGGTCAAGAGGTCACAATAGCCTACCTGGACGCTGGTTCATTATTTTTTTCTTGTTATTCGACTAAGGTGAACCCGTAAAAGTTTAAAGCATACCTAGAGACGAGCGTAACACATACCACGATAGCACGGAGAGATGCAAAAGTTAAATGCTAATCCCATAGATGTATAATCCATTAAGAAGAGAAAATAGGAGGTCATGAGGAATTCAGAAGATTAGAATTTGTGAGAACACAAAGAATGGATGCACGTGGTATTTCTATTCAAATATCTCATGAAATAGTGAGCTAATCAGAAGTAGCCAAACCGAGAAGCAGATTCAATGATCATCAGAATATATATATCATTGGTCAAGAAGTGGATTCGTTTACTCAGTAGATTTGTAGTGAAGGAGAACACAGGTGAGGGCAACCAAATTGTATTTATCTCAAATTACAGAGTTACTCAGTAAAATAGGAAAACCATATCGTAACCGTTAATTTGCAAATCTTCAATCAATCATCAATCCATTGTCTGACATTACACAATTCATGCGTTTCATACAAATTCCATTGTGTTCCCACTCTTCCTTTCTTGATCTTCCCTCATCTTCTGCTGCCAGACATTACGTCTACACTCGCGTCATATACTACCTATAAGTTGCGCGCACCACAGATGGAATACACAGGGACGAGTATTTGTACATATGATTCAATAGCCAAAAACACTTTCTCTTCCGCTCTTGATTTCTCACCCATGCGGTCAGTTTGACAGATTAACACGTATCATAATCAGATCTTGGACACTGGCATATCGCAGAAATTCCCATAATGGTGATCTTAACTTCAATAGAATCGTTTTATTTCAATCGAAAAGCAACTTTTACCAAAACGTAAGGTAATAATAATAATAATAATTAGAACATATGTACTCCTGGGTGGTTGTTATAGTATATATTTATTTTATGATGTTGTAAGCCTGTTCCCATAGGTATGAATCAATCTCTTCTAGAATTTTTACGCTAAAATCTCTCAAAATCTTAATCCTCTTACTATAAAATCTAGTCATATTCTAAAACTTTGTAATTCCGGTGGAAAAAAAAGAAAAATGGAAATCAATAATTTGAAAAAAATCATTAAAAATCACTGAAAAACTAAGTAGTATCATTGTCTCAGATGTTGATAAGTTTGTGATTTGACGAAGACTAAAGTATTCTTGGTTTTAGCCAAATTAATTAGGTACAACTCAGTTTTTTATTAGCGAGTAAGTTTTTTGCGGGATGTGGTCGACAACCCCAATCCCAACCCTCCTGCTTTACCCGGGGGCTTGGGATCGACAGTAGCTTCGAAGGGTCTACAGGCGGTAAGAGTACATGACCAGTAAGAGTAGTGGATATTCATAGGTTGGTGGTTTTCTATCATAGGTGTCTCCGAAGCATTGCTCGTGTATCCCGTGAGATGATAATAGTCGATGGTTAGAGACCCTGAATGAGATGGCTCAAAAACGTTTGCAATCGCGCCAGAGCATTCATTCTTTGCGTTTTCTCAAATCCTAATCTTGTGGATTCTTCAACAACTCTAGTTTTGACTTTCTAAACTTTTCTCATTGAATTATACTTCTTGAATAATATCTTATAATCCTAACTTCTCCGATTACTTCTAATACCTTTACTAACTCTTCTACTATTGGATTTGAATTAACAATTACATCTCTGTGCTGATGTGGTATGGCAACATGAACTGATGTACTTACGTACGAAGTTCTATGTTGCATCTGAGAGACTGACTGCTCGTGTATCCTGGGACAACCGAGTAAACAAGACAGTTGTCAGAAAACAGGTCCTAGGTACGGATGATAGATCAGTAGATAAAGTAGTAAAGTGACATCAGTTGATGTGATTGGGACGTGTGTTACGTATGCCTAACCACTGACGGCTTCGACGAGCTATATTTTGTGGTGTAGGATCAGGTTGGAAGAAAGCTAGGGGCGGTCAAAACAAAACATGGCACAAATCCATGAAGTCACTGACAAGTGGACTGAGTTATATCGACTACCTGGTTGGGGTCCGCGAGATGATAATGGTCGATGGTTAGCGACGTTGAATGACATGGCTCAAAACCAGTTGCAATAGCTCAAGTGCATCGATTCTGTCTTCTTTCAAAGTATGATCAAAATTCCTCGTGGTTTTCATCTTTCTCTTCTCAAAATTTTTTTCACTGGATTATACTCCTTGAATAAAATCTTCAAACCGTAATCTTTCCGATTACTGCTTATACTTCTACTACCTTTACCATTAAGAGATTTGAATTGACAATGGCATCACTGTGCTATTATGGTAATGGTTACCTGAACTGATGTACTTACGTCCGAAGTTCTACGCTGTTTGCTGACTGACTGACTGACTGGCTAAGTCTGTACAAACACTTGTTTAATAATGCTCAAAATGAGATTTCAACACAATCCAATACATACCATATTACTATCTAATATTGAATTCATCTTGTTCACTGTAAAAGTGACCTTTATCCATACGGAGCTTTATTCGTAAACTCGAAAGCCTTCAAAAGAATTTAACTCGTAAATAATACTTGTGTTCCATTCTCAAAGTTAAGTTTTTTTTCTCTAAAACTTACATTTTTCCTTTCTTCATCCAAATGTTTTTCAAGTTTGGATAAGAGGTTGAGAAAGATTGTTTGATCAGATAACGAATCATGGCAATGTTCATCTTGAAGCATAATACTACCATCATCCATAATGACAGGACTTAGTGCACATTCTTTGAAATGTTCATCAGAATTACTACTGTTATCAGTGTTATTCTTAGGGTTTGACAAATCCATTTGACAAATATTTGAACTGTTTTTATTATCACTGGATACTTCACGTCTAAATCGTAGAAAAAGAGTGACTTATGCAACTGTTTATAACAAACATGATCAGACTATGTAAATACACTTTGCGAGTTTATTAATGGTCGGTTTGAATTTTAATTCTTTAAAAACTTGATCAGTTGGAACTTACTGGCATGAAATGGAGAAAAAGGAAGGAACTATATGGCGCCGTCTTGCTACTAACAATAAAAGTAACTTTTTAATCAATCTAAGACATATATTGTTATAATGTCTGAGAATCCCTACGAACTAAAGTTGAATGAATATATATGAGACAGATTTACACTCTTCTGGTAAAGTTGAATATTTTGAATAAAGCTTAAGGAGATAAGTACAAAATAATACAGTGAGAATAGTGTTTGATAAACTGTAATCGATCACAATCCTCCATGAACCTGAACTATTAGGGAACTGACCTATGATATTTTATGACCTATTCATAAATTAGTTTTCCAAGATTTGTTTGCCTTTGTTCTGTTTTACCAAACATGCAGTTAGGGGCAATGAATGTTCAACTTATGCTATTCGAAATACGTCTATGGACTTAATATACACGCTGACATTCCTTACCCAAAACTAGGTATCTAACTATCAAACTGGACACTCAGTACTTACTTACTTACGCTTGTTACCTCCAATGGAGCATAGGATGCCCACCAGTTTTTTCCAAACTACTCTGTCCTGGGCTTCTCTTTCCAGTTCTTTCCCGTTGTTATTCATTCATCTCATATTTTTCTCCATTTATCAACGTAATGCGTTCCTTAGACTTCCTCTTTTCCTTTGACCATGAGGGTAACAAGAGGGGGCCTGTCCTGTGACGCATTTGGGTGCTTTTCGCAGTGTGCGTCCAACGCTTCATCCTGATTTCCCCCTCGACTGGAATCTGATTTGTTCTCTCCCGCAGTAGGTTGTTGTTGACGAAGTCTAACCAACGAACTCGAAGTATTTTGCCTAGACAACTGTTTCCGCTCCATACAGTATATCTGTCTTGACATTTGTATTGAAAATTCTGATTTTGGTGTTGATTGATATTTGTTTGGAGTTTCAGATATTTTTCAATTGTAGAAATGTAGCCCTTGCTTTGCCAATCCGCGACCTCACATCTGCATCGGATCCACCTTGTTTGTCAATGATGATGCCCAGATATGTAAAGTTGTTAAAGTCCTCCAAGGCATCTTCATCAAGATTGATTTGGTTAGCGCATGTTGTGTTGTATCGCAGTACTTTTAGAAAAACCAATCAATATCACAAGAAGTCAACGCTACCTATTGCATCAAAATAATGTGAGTTAAATCAAAACACATGTAACATTACACATAAAGGAAAGAAAAAACAACTAACTTTCCAGTGTCTTTTTTGAATGATACTCGAGATGGAGGTCTCTTTTTTGCAGTCCCATGCATTTCATGACATTTTCGTGGTAAGGAAGATGTTGCATGTTTACATGTTACTTCATGCGTACACTGAGGATAAGAATTATTGCATATAAACGGTCTTCTTCGAATACTTTCACGCATTGTGGGAATTTCAAACTTCAATTGGATCGGAGTTCCGCAAACTTGACTTCAGTAAAAATTGAGGTATGTTCAGATTTATAAAAATATATGACTAGAATATATTACAGAGTGTCGAGATTCTGTAAATTAAAAAAACAAATAAGAAATTCAAAAAATTCATTTTTAGATATTACCTCCTAAAAGTCAGTCAGATGCAACGCAGAACTTCGTACGTAAGTACATCAGTTCATGTTGCCATACCACATCAGCACAGTGATGTAATTGTCAATTCAAATCCAATAGTATAAAAGGTAGTAAGGGTATTAAAAGTAATCGGAGAGGTTAGGATTAGAAGATATTATTCAAGAAGTATAATTCAGTGAGATAAGTTTAGACAGACAAAACTAGAGGTGCTGAAGAATCCAGAAGATTAGGATTTGAGAGAACACAAAGCATGAATGCACCGGCGCAATTGCAAACGATTTTGAGCCATGTCATTCAAAGTGTCTAACCATCGATTATTATCATCTCGCGGACCCCAACCAAGTAGTCGACAACTACTGACATGGCTAAGTTCACTCGTCAATGACTTCATGGATTTCTGCCATGTTTTGGTCTGGCCGCCCCTAACATTACCTCCTAAAAAGCAACAACCTTTGCTCAGTTAGGGAAGAAAACGTTACAGTGAAATTTTATACTCATTGCCTTATTTTCTCTTGTTACATTAACTAAAATATAACAAGTTCGCAACAAGCTAACTTTTCTGAATCATACAGTGGTTGAATAAACACTTATTGTGGATTATGATATGGTATAGAGTTTGTTCTTTGGTGAGACGATCACAAAACCGTTCCAGATAGTTAGATATATATTGAATTTGGGTTATAATAACTCTCTTACTGCTTTAACCGATGTTAAAATTTATTAGTCAGTCAGTCAGTTAGTCAGTTGCAACGTAAGAACTTCGAACGTATGTACATAAGTTGATGTTGCCATACCACATTAGCACAAACACGCAAATGTCAGATCAAATCCCATAGTGATAAAGAAAGTAGAGGTATTAATGGTAATGAAGAAGACTAGTGGGTTTGAAGATATTAATCAAGAAGTATGATTCAATGAGATAAGGTTAGAAAGACAAAGGTATAGGTGGTGACGAATCCAGAAGATTAGGATTTGAGAGAGCACAATGAATGGATGCACTTGTGCCATAGCAAACGATTTTGAGCCATGTCGTTCAAGGTCTCTAACCACTGGTGACTTTCGTCTCGCGGACCCCAACCAGGTAGTCTACATCTACCAATGAAATTTATTAAGAAGTTCATTTCCAGAGTTCAGAACTCTAGTTCTTTCTATTTTAGTTGTAATTATAAGAATCTCAATGGTTTTTTTATATGCTACTATCTAAACTGTATAACAATAAGGGAAGCTTAGTGGTTGTACTCTGCTCCAAGTATTCTTTAAAGGCGTTCCAAAAACTTTGATTAGTTTTGGTTTGAGTTCTAAGTTAGTAATGGACAGAAGGCTGGGTGGTTTCTGTTAATCCTAGCGATTTTCATCTCTCTCAGTTGGAATTTCAGTCACATGTCAGGTTTAAAAGTTCTGTTCGTTGACGATTTGTTGGGAAATTCGATGGTCTGTTGACAGGTAATTCGTTCTAGGCTTGTAAAATATTTTAGTGTCCTCGTATATTCTGTTCTGGAATTCAGAGGAAATGAGGGTATGTCAGACATAAATCAATCATTAAGTAATCCAAAAACTATGTGCAAGTTATTTCTGGTCCTTCAAAATGACAGAGGAAATAGGTTTACTTTAGCCAATCTCCCGTCAAACAACTGCTTTCAACCTTTTCCAACACCTCACTGACATTTTTTAGGTAGGAGCTAGCCATGTGTATGTAATACTCAAGTTTAGAACAAACGAATGCTGTATACAAAATCGAAAATATCTTAGCATCAACGTGGATAAGGCTTTACGAATAGTCCATAGAGTTATGAAACAATTGATAGCTAGTAAAGATAGAAGATTAAGAAGGTCATTTACATACAAGAAGAAAAATGGCCCTAAAACTGCGTCCTGAGGCACCCTGTTAAGCATAGTTTCTCAGCCAGACAAATTAGAATCAAACTGTACTGTGTGTTGGTGTCTGATTAGGAAATCCTTAATCTACAGAAGTTGCTGTTAATCCCAATATTAGTTGACTTAGACAAAAGCCGGTTATAAAGGACTTTGCCGAAAGCTTTTCTAAAGTTAAAGAAGGTTAAATCTATAGGTATATCTTTATCTTTGAAAGAGCACCAACTTTTGCGAGCTACTAATAGGTTTGTAAGATTTTATTAGCCTGTTCGAAAGCCTTTCCATTTCTCAGAAAGGATTAGGTTTCCGTCTTGGTACTTAAATAGCTATCTGAACCAATATTGTTTGACAAATCGAGTTATTTAATGACCACAGTGTTCAGATTGTGTATGTGGGAGTTTGGTCTGAGCTGACACATAGTTGTAGATAACGATATCGAAATCGAGGACTAGAACTGTATAGTTAATGTTGCCTAGTGGTGGCATATAATCGAGGTTTGAGACATCATGCTTCTTTTGCATGTTGCATCAGGGCATTTGCGTTAAACGCATCAGCCAATTTCTGTTCAAAAGAATCTTCTGACAATTTAATCCTTAGATCTTTCCAGTCTACTGTAGATGGTTTAAAGTCTCCTGAAACTAAAGATCAACTACTCGAAGATCAAATGTGGAGTTTTTTTTGACAAGAATTCATTCACCCTACAGTTTAAGCCCTGATAGACCAAGCCAATAAGAAGCTCTAATCCTCTGCACCAACTAACTGACTTGCACATCCTACTCTCATGGGGAGTGCAGTGGATGACGAAAAATAGGATAGCATTTCTGATGAATGTGGCTACTCGTTATTTTCTTTTACGCTTTTGGATTCTCTCGACTCTAGCTAATGTGAAATCTTCACAATCAAGTTCCGTATTGTTTAAGGGCTGAGTCAGTCATATTTTTGTAATGGTAATTACGTGCAGCTTGGTTGAGTCAATCTGATCGCTTGTTGGGTAAGCTCCAGTAATTCGAATAATAGACCCGAAGACCACTTACATGATTTTATGCTGTAACCAAAGTTGCTTCGATATATATTGCTGCCGGGACCCCGATACCCGAAATTTTGCAACTCTAAGGTCCTTTTTGCCAGCATCCAACCTTAATTTTAGTACTTCCTTGGCCTCTCATTTTCTAATTAGATCCATGATTCAGAACTCCTCACCAACAAAATTCTTGAATCCTTCAGTTTGTATCTATTCTGTAGTATTAAGTAACTTTAACTGAGAGATTTAAATACTAATTTTAGCAACCTAGTTTGGTTTTATTGTAAGATCGTTAGGCTTTCTAGTCCATAAACTTTGAGCAAAGTGACTTCAGGGGTGTTTTAAGGTATTAGCGTACTTGACAGACCGTTTATCGAACCAATGTCATGTTAGGAACAGATTTCGGGATTAACGTTTTCACTTTTCTCTACTCGGTGAAAGATGGCTGACCCGTCACTGTAATCATCCCTCAGTTTAGGACCTGCCGTTGCGAGAACTAGCATTTCCTTAGTGAAACTTGTCGTCTCTTTTCCATGGCTTCTGCTCTTCCTTCAGTTTCTACCGGGATGGCAATGGAAGCTGCGTTGTGAGATGCTGAATCATTAAAGGTCAGGTCTCTTTTTCTGTTTTAAGTGGACGTCACACTATGTGGCTGCAGACACATAGGACGGGGCATTGAAGAAACCTGACTTCTTGAGGTTTTGTTTCACGTGAACCTCTTTAGGGTCAGTTTCTTCTCCCTTGAACCATTTAGGTCATCCGGCCCTGACCTTAGATGTTATGTCTGTATATCGATCTGTATGTCATCAGAACAGGAATTATTTGAACTATTTCGACACTGCTGGTTAATATGCCTTTGGCAATGTTTACCATTCCTTTGGCATCAGAAAGCAAGCTCTTTTCATGCGAGCGGTATTGATGGAACAACCAAACACATTCCTTTTAGCTGAATCCTCTGAAAGCTGCAAGTGTAAGATTTGTGCAGGCTTTGTGGTATCACCCTTTGGAATCAACACACTGGTGTTACTGCAACTAAAATTGATCTAGTTGGGATGAAATACATCAGTTTTGAAGCGTAATATGAGTAACTGTAAAGTTAACTCTGCAAAGAAAAATACCACCGTTCCTATTATTTAGTTTTCGTGGTTAGCTACGTAACAACGGAGACGTGATTTTATAAAATAATTTTTTCCGTTCGGTAATTCATTATTCCATTCTTGATTGTCTCTAAGCCATTTTATTTGAGGATTTCAGTCTGCTATTATGCTTTCATAATAGCATCTAGCCATTTTGACTAGGTTTACTTGCTTTACAGACTATCAGTAAGACGAAACCCATAATGAATGAAAACATTTGACCCTTGAGGCTTGTGGGATTCATAAAGTAATCTTTTTACCTTTTCATCTGAAATAAATATCACTCTTTGGAGGCCCCTTGAGTGCACAATTTCGGATTCAAAGTTCTAAACAGTCCAGTGGAATCCTTCCCTACTGAAAACCTATTCGGTTATCGCTTTTTCGTACATATAATACCATGATTTCAAGCAATGTTATCATCTATGGTGCTTAAGACTGAAAGTCAATTAAGTTAGAAAACGAAATAGGCAATGGCGTTCACTTCTCATTTTTTAAATTTAAACACATAACCAAAGATATGTTAGAAATCTACAGCAGCAGATACCAAATCTCAGGGAAGACAAAAACAAAACGGTTTTTTCGATTCTTATAGAAAAGGTTCCTTAGTAAGCAATAAAAACAACATGAAAACGAATGGCTTATATGAAAAGCTCAAAACCTTGCTTATGATCAGGATGAAAGTTCGAAGAAATCAAGTAGTTGATGCTAGTTTGATAAGAATTTAAAAAAGGGATATCACGATTCGCCCGTGGATGCGAACACAAAATAGTTAGTTTTGAGCTTGACAC